TTGTGTCACTTATGTATATACTATCTTATCATCTGCAGATAGTGCACATTCATAATTCTGAACTGGTGTGGGATTATTTTGTTATTTCTATCTTCATTTAGCACCTACGTGGTCAACTAAATCCACATATAACCTGAGAGAGCTTGAAAAAGAATTCTAGACCAAAAAAAAAAAAATACAGAATTTAACACAGCTTCTTGCTGTTTGCCGGCAGCGTGCCACAGCTCCTTTGAGAGAGGTCATACTGATTCAGCGGTAGCAGCTGCAAGGTTTCAAAACAGCAGCTTCCCAGCCATGGGCCATGTTGTTAGCACCAACTCATTAATAGAACATTGCCCCCATGACAGCAAGAAGCAGTTCTAGAGGATGATGCCCCCATCCCAAAAATGTTTGTTCTTAGGATTAGAAACACTGTTTAGGGGTTGTTGATTATTGCTTGTTCTAGAGAGAGGGTTGGGGTGAAAACTATGTTTGTTCAAAAAAAGGGGGGATAATAACTGTTTAGGGGTTATTGATTATTGCTTGTACTAGATAGAGGGTTGAGGTGAAAACTGTTAAAAAAGGGGGGATAATAATAGTGGGTAATAGAGTGAATACTTGTGAGCTATTGTCAATAGATAATTTACATTGGTATAGTTTTTGTATATTGATACAAGTTTGAATTATATTTGTTATTTTTGTTTACATTATTTGTACACTTATGCAAAGTTATTCTGTCAGATTGTATATATGCATGTTTCTACCTCTGTTTAAGACATTTTGTATATTGATACAACTTTTAGGATATATTTTATTATATATTACTCCTACCTCTGATCAAGATACTTATACATTGTTTACATTTTAAGGTCATTGTCCTCATTTGTTCACATTTGTTTACAGATTATTGAATATTCTGACATGAAGTTTTAGTCTTTAAGTATACAGGTATTAAATATTATAGGTCACTGGTTGTTCATGTTTGTTGTATACAGTCAGATCTGTTAGGTTCTTTATATACATAGAGATTGTATTCTATCTAGATAGGTAATCTTCAACCACTTCAAGGATCTGTGGAACATGGCATTTAAATAATTTAGGATTCTGTTGATATGAGACATGATTGCTCCTGACAGCATCAATCTATTCCCAAGAGAATGTTGAGCACTGAAGACACTCCACTCAGATTTTGTTTCCTTCTTGGCACCATTGGCCTTATGTCAAAGAACTACCCATACCTCAACCACTAACAAAGTACATGATGTCCAGAAATGGATAAGCAGGACACAAGGAAAAAGACTGTCAAATCTTGCCAAGACAGGGCAAGACAGTTCTGAAAAATTTCCTTCCTCTAAAAATGGTCTGTCAGTTGCTCTAGGCCTTAGCCAAAGTTGGTTGCTTCAACTTTGCAAAATGAGACTTTGGGTGATTGCTCAGGTTGCTAATTGTCTCCATTATATATTGCTTGCTTTGGAAGCTGCTTGATTGTACTTCCTGCCTGCTCAAGTAATATTATCTCCCTTCTCAGGCCTTTGATGGGGTTGAAGATTAGATAGTCATAGTTCCTGACCTCTTATGATCTAGCCAAGCCATTTCCAATACAAGATTTAGACTCCTTAGGATAGGATGTTTATTAAAGCATTTAGTATATGTTCCTTGCTTAATATTTCTTATGCTGGTTAATTCTAATTATATTTGATATCTATTCCTAGTGTATATAGTTTTGTATTGGGTTTGGAACCCTCTTATTTAAACTAAAGAGGGAGGTGCTGTGGGAGCACATTCTGCTCCTTCAGCCAATAGCCTTTAAGATACCAGCTTACTTGGGCGTGGTCTCTTTTGCTTTCAAAAGCAGCAGTAGCCGTACTCTCGCTCTCTTGCTTCTGGCTTCCACTTCTGGCTACTAGACTCTGTTCCTGTTCGTGCAGAGGGCTGTTGTCTAGGACAGTAAGTTTTTCCCTTAAATAAATAACCCTTTTATTATTCATAATTCTGAATTGGGGTGGTATTATTTTGTGATTTCCATCTTCATATGTTACTTGGCCTTTTTCCTTTACTGCTTTTAATATTATTTGTTTATTCTGATGTTTAATGATTTGGTGAGGGGACTTTTTTTTTCTCCCTCTTCTCCAGTCTGTTTGGTGTTCTATAAGCTTCTTTACTTTTGTAGTCATGTCTTTCTTTAGGCTGGGAAAGTTTTTTTTCTGAGTTTATTGAATATGTTTTCTCTGCCTTTGAGATGGAGTTCTTCTTCTATCCCTATTATTCTTACGTTTGGTCTTTTCATGGTGTTTCAGATTTCCTGGATATTTTGTGGTAAGAATTTGTTGGATTTAATGTATTCTTTGACCTATGAATCTATTTCCTCTATCATATCTTCAATGCCTGAGATCCTCTCTTCCATCTCTTGTAATCTTTTGGTTATGCTTGCATCTGTATTTCCTGTTCATTTGCCCAGATTTTCCATTTTCAGAATTCCCTTTGTTTGTGTTTTCTTTATTGCCTTTATTTAAATTTTCAAGTCTTGAACTGTTTGCTTCACCTGTTTGATTGTTTACTTGGGTTTCTTTAAGGGACTTATTGGTTTCTTCCAATTTTTTTTTCTTTCCTCCATTTCTTTAAGGGAATTTTTCATTTCCTCTTTAAGGGCCTCTATCATCTTCACACAATTATATTTAAGGTTATTTTCTTCTGCCTCTTTTGGGTTAGGATGTTCAGGTATTCCTGTTGTGTGATCACTGGGTTCTGGTATTACCATGTTGCTTTTTAGGTTATTGAATGTATTCTTGCTTTGGTGCCTACCCATCTCTTCCTCTGATTGGTGCCAGCAGTGTCTTTGCCTCTTGGTTCAATCCTTGCAATAGGTGTCTGTGTCTCAGGGATCCCTTCTTGGACTAATTTTTACAGTTGCTGTCTGTGCCCTAGGAAGCTATTCTTGGCCTACTCTGTGTAGTTGCAGTCTATGCCTCAGATCCTCTGAGGTCAAGTGGGGGAGCGTGGGTTTTGGGGTGGAGTGGAATTTCTAGATACTGGGTCTCATAGATGAGGGGCAGGGGTTGAAGCAGCCTATCTGCAGGGGAGTTGCCTGCTGACTGGCTAGTGAAGCTGTGGCAGGAAGGGGAGGGGCTTGGGGTTTTGTTCAGAGACCTAGAATCTAGAGACTGGGGTGTCTTCATGGGGAGCTGGTCATCCGTTCTGTGTAGTAGCAGTCTGTACATCAGAGATCCTCTGAGGTTGCAGGGGGATGGGTGGGTTTGGGGGCTGAGTGCAACTTGTAGATTACAGGGTCCGGTTTTTGTTGGAGTAGCCTACCTGCAGGTAGGTGCCTGCTGGCTAGCTAGTGAATCTGAGGCAGGTTGGGATGGGGCCCATGGTTTTACCCTTGGAACGAGGGCTTAGAGACTGGGCTGTTCAGCTGGGGAGGTGATCACTCACCTTTGGTCATCTCTGTGCACCCTGATCAGACTTTTACTGAGCTAAACTACTTCAAAGTAGTATAAAGAAATGGCAAAGTACTGGTTCAAACAAATTAATTTTGTGACCTAATTTTATAAGTATAACAAGCCTATCCACTCCCCTCACTTTTACCACCAAATTTCTTCCTGTTCCCTGGACAAGTGCAGCCTTTTCTTGTACACTCATTCAACTTGGGTTAGAGTTTATCCCTCAGCAACGACAGAACACAACATCTACAGTTAAGCAGATGTGTAGCAGTTCACTGACTGACCTTTAGCCTTGTTGAACATTGTCTTCCCTAACTTCTAAGTCATTGTTCCAATTTTGGAAGATTTTTGCATTACACCACACGCTTATAAATTTATACTTACCTAATTTAGAAATGACTATGTCCACTCACTCTAGCCTGTCTCGTGGTTCAATCAAATTATATTGTTCATATTATGTGGTTCAAGGTAAATAAGGCCTATTTAGTCTTGTTTATAGACACAGAGCGAATCCATAATACTGTCCCTACCCCTGCTTGTTTTCCTCTTGCTAAGAACCCAGAGGAGGAGTCAGTCACTCAGGACTTCTGAAAGCCAATATAAGCAGTCTGTGGTCCATGGCTTGATAATGACCTATGCTGTGTTCAGGGATTGGCTCCTGCTAGGCCCCATCTCTGTTATTTGTTCTCATAATCAAACTTGAAAAGGAGAGTGGGGTCTAGAAACCTTGGAAACCATACCCTTCCCCCACCCTCCTTGAGACTACATCCTACTTAGCTCCATTGGTTCTTTCAGCCAGAGGACAGCATGACTGGATTGGATTCTTTGTGACTCAGAAATGTTCTGTGCATCAGATCTTCTCAGTCACCAGTACAATGTCTCCCATGATCCACTGTACCACCAAATCAAAACTATGTGTGGCCTGTGTGCTCTTCTTTTGAAAGCTCCCTTGTGGCCAAAAACAGCACTAGCTTCCTTTGCAAATATGTTTTATTTTAGCTGCAACAATGCATTCTTCACTTACTTTTTAAGTAGGTTTCTCTTTGCATTTTTCAATCTCTTTTCCAGTATGTAGGCCCTACCTGTGGAGAGCTATGACCACAGTGTGCACTTGGGAGAGGACAGGAAACTGGTGCAGATGGACCTTGCATATAGAAGTCATCTGGTTAGGGCTTAAAAGTGAATGCAACAAGAAGAGATGGATTTTGAAGTCTGAGTCTAGATTTCTAGATGAATGGCAATGATAATACTTTTTTTAAAGGCAAGAAGGGCTCTTTTTGTACTTGGGTATTTCATATGCTGGGGAATACTCACTTGGGTGGTGGGAGGCAATGAAGGCTCTTGTGGTATTTGTGGGTCCCAAACCCTTTCCCTCCAAGTTCTTAGAATGTGGCAAGTAAGGTACCATGCATATCAACTTTCCTTTTCTGAGGCTGTGTTAGAAAGCATTAGAGCAAAGTGTTTTAAAGAGGCATTATATAAACATAGGACTGTAAGATTTCTACATAACCTATGGATTTTGTGTGTATGTGTGATTGTCAGGAGTCATTAAGTCATGTGTGTGTTTTTCTCTCTCAGGTTCATTTTCCAGACACTGAAAGAGCAGAGTGGCTAAATAAGGTAAGATTAGCATACTCCAAATATTCATTGGGAATTAGAGGGCTAGAGACTATCTTCCCATGTTTGGAAATTTCAGTGTTGGTAGTATTGAAGTTCAGATTGGTGTGCAGGCTTCTGCTCCCACGAGGACTGTTGCAAGTAGTATGTGACTTTCCCTTGGGAAGAACAAGAGCTGTGTCACTGTCCTAAGAAGATTTATGTATGTACTTTTATGGCATTGCCATCTGGCTTTGTGTCTGTGTTCTTAAATAGAGGCTGCTAACATCTGCTTTATAGAAATCACAAGCACACACTCTAGAAATATTATAAAGAGAAAAAATAACTCCGAAGAAACTAGCCATCTATAATACCTTTTAATGGATGTTTTGTTTGAGTAAGCTTTAGGCTGAGTCTCTGTTGCCTGGTATTTTGAGCATCTCTAAGGCAATATAGTGACATTAGTCTAGACAGAAATCACCTATAGCCCAAGTTAATTTGTAGCTGTAAAATGCAGGAGTGGTTACTGAGGTCCACACACAGTTTTTTTGTTGGCTTTGGTTTGGTTTTGTTATGGTGTTGAGATCAAACCAAGGGCCTCACCCAAAAGAAGCAAATGAGCCACTGAACTACCCTCCCAGCCTAAGAGCTACGAGTTAAGTTTCTGGTTTTGGTTTTGGTTTTGGTATTAGTTTGTTTTTGAGACTGAGTTTCTCAGTGTAGCCCTGGCAGTCCTGGAACTCACTCTGTAGACCAGGATGGCCTCATACTCAGAGATCAGTATACTTCTGCCTTCTGAGTGTTGGGGATTAAAGGCTTGTGCCACCACCACCTGGCCATAGCCTACGTCTTCCTACAGTCAGTTGAAGTCATGGGACTTTTAGTGATTACTAGATATGTAGGTATGTTTAAACAGAATAGCTAATTAAAAGAACTAATTCCAGTAGTATATTGTCTGATCAGTAGTTTATTGTTGAAATAAATGCTTAGCACTGAGAACACATTTGACAGGACTGCCTCTCCCTTTTGTTCTAGTTTTCAAAGCCAGTTTCTAATAGACGACATGAGTATAATTTCCTTAGTGACTCAAATAAATTATGTATCATACGTCATAGCAATTATTTAATGTGAGTTTCTTTTCCTTCTAGACGGTAAAGCACATGTGGCCCTTTATTTGTCAATTTATAGAGAAGCTCTTTCGAGAAACCATAGAACCAGCTGTGCGGGGAGCAAATGCACACCTCAGTACCTTCAGCTTCACAAAAGTGGACGTGGGTCAGCAGGTCAGTTCCTTCGTTCTTTAGTGCCCTTTCTCAAGCACACAGTGGGACTGCTGTGAAAGCATAGCAACAGTGTGACCACTGTGCAGGCCCTGGTTTCGGAAACTGTTCCTGAAGAAGACTGGAAAGTCTGCAAGGCCCTAGGTTCTTTTTCCCAGTGGCAGGTTCTGGCTCCCCACTTGTCGCCTCACTCTCACTATGCTGCTCTTTATATTTTGTTGTTTTTGTTTTACTTTTTAAGTTAATTTTTTTTGTTTATGTGTGTATATGTGTACCTGTGTGAGAATATGCCATACATGCATTCATGGAGGCCAGAAGATGGTATCAGAGCCTCTGGAGATGGAGGTACAGGCATTTGTACAGCTGCGTGATGTGGGTGTTGGGAACCAAATTCAAGCCCTCTGGAAGATCAACAAGTGCTCTTATCCCCTGAGTCATTTCTCCAGCCCGGTTTTTGACTTTTTTTTCTGACAAATAAGGGGTACTAGCTTTAATAAATATCAGTCTAAACATTGATAAAGTTAGGAGCACACACCTTTAATCCCAGCACTTAGAAGGCAGAGACAGGTGGATCTCTGTGAGTTCAGAGCCAGCCTGGTCTACAGAGCAAATTCCAGGACAGCCAGCAGTACAGAGACACACATGTAGGCAAAACCTCTATACATAGAAAACAAATATCAATTTGCTTAATAATGATTTTTGCCTCTCCAGATTTCATATGTATTATTTCATTAATATTTGTACAGTTTTATTTGTATATTGTTTAATAAATATTTTTCTTTTTCTTTTTTTTAAATTTTTATTGCTTTATAAATGATACCATTCAAAATTTCCACTTTCTCCCCTCCACTCACCCTTCCCCCTCGCCCTCCAGTTCTAAGAGAGGGCAGGGTGATGGAGGAGGGTCATCTGTCTGTGTGTTACTTTATTGGTTAATAAAGAAACTGCCTTGGCCCTTTGATAGGACAGAAAATTAGGTAGGCGGAGTAAACAGAACAGAATGCTGGGTAGAAGGCAGTGAGGCAGACGCAGTGAAGCTCCGGGCCAAGATGGATGTAGGCTATAATCCTTTCCGGTAAGCCACCACCTCGTGGTGCTACACAGATTATTAGAAATGGGTTAAACAAGTTGTGAGAGTTAGCCAAGAAGAGTCTAGATATAATGGGCCAGGCAGTGTTTAAATGAATACAGTTTGTGTGTTGTTATTTCGGGTGTAAAGCTAACCATGCGGAAGCAGGCCTGCCCTCAGCTCCTTCTACAGCAGGGTACCGGAAGTCCAAGGCCCTTCCCTCTTCATCCAGGCCAAGGAAGGTGAGCATCCAAACAGACTAGGTTCCCAAGAAGCCAGTACATGCAGTAGAATCAAAACCCGGTGTTATCATTGGCTTCTCAGTCAGCTCCCATTGTCAGCCACATTTAGAGAGTCCGGTTTGATCACATGCTCGTTCAGTCCCAGTTCAGCTAGCTTTGGTGAGCTCCCATTAGATCAGACACACTGTCTCAGTGGGTGGACCAACTCCTCACGGTCCTGACTTCCTTGCTCATCTTCTCCCTCCTGCTCTTCAACTGGACCTTGGGGGCTTAGTCCAATGTTCCGATGTGGGTCTCTGTCTCTATCTCCATGCATCGCTGGACGAATGTTCTATGGTAATATTCAAGATATTTATCAGTGTGATTATGGGACAAGGCCACTTCAGCACCCTCTTCTCTACTGCCCAAGGACCTAGCTGGGGATATCCCCATGGATTCCTGGGATCCCCTCTAGAGCCAAGTCTCTTGCCAACCCTAAAATGGCTCCCTTAATTAAGATATCTTCTTCCCTGCTCCCATATCCTCCCTTCCTCCATCTCCACCCTCCACTCCCCCAAGCTCTCCCCAATCCTCCCCTTCTCCCTTCTCTCTCCCCTTCTCCCCTTCCCCCCACCCTACCCCCACCTCTCTGCTCCCAACTTTTGCCTGGTGATCTTGTCTGCTTCCAATTTCCAGGAGGATCTATATATGTTTTTGTGTGTGTGTGTGTGTGTTCACCTTATTATTTAACTTCTCTAGGATTGCTCAATGTCCTTTGTTTATGGCTAGAATCCACTTTTCTTTTTTTGTTTTTATTAGCTATATATTTCTCTCTGCTCCCCTCTCTTTCTCCCTCCTCCCTATGAACCCCATGCTCCCATAACAAATATTTTTCTATATAAATCATGAGTTTGATTTCATCCAGATTTTTAAAATTTTCAGCATTTTCTAAAAATTAGATGAGAAACCATTTCTTGATGAATATTTATTGTAGAAAATTTTATGATTAAGTAATAAATTCTAACAATTATTTTGAGAAAATACTGAGGATTTTTGCATTTATATATATGACAATTTCATGCTTGTATTATATTTTATGCAGTATATTGTACCATAATCATACCCCCATCACCCTTCCTTATCTTCTTCCCACTACTGTTCATCCCCTTCTTCCCAACTAGTCTCCTCCTCCTTTTATGTTTCTCTCCCTCCTCCACGCCCTACACTCCTCTGTAAGGGGTAGGTCTGTATTTTGGCTTTTTGAGACAGTCTTACTATAAAGCACAGGCTGGCCTTTAAATACAAACTGTAGGTCAGGGAGATGTTTCGGTGATTCGGATCTCTTGCTGAGGATATAAGTTTGATTCCTGTCACCTACAAATTCTCACTTATGACTTCAGCTCAAGAGATTTGACACTTTCTTTTGGCCTCAGCATACACATAAGTAGAAATAAGTCTTAAAGGAAAAGAAATACAGCCAGACAGTGTAGTGCACAGCTTTATCCTAGCACTCAGGAGGTAGAGGCAGGCAGATCTCTGTGAAGTTAAGGCCCGCTTGGTCTACAGAGGGAGTTCCAGGACAGGCTCCAAAGCTACACAAAGAAACCCTGTCTCAAACAAAAGAAAATAACAACAACACAAAAAAGAAATGATTTGGTTTTTGTGGTTGCATAGTAAATTATCTGTATCATATATTAAGTATTATTCATTTCTATTTTCTCATTCTATTATTTTTCAGGCTGCCTTGAACTGGAAATGCCATGTTTCAGCTTCTTAAATGTTGTGATTATTGGCCTGCACTACCACACTCAACTATATTCTTTTTTTTAATCTACTGAAAAGCCAAATTTTTGTGAAATTTCAAAGTGAAAACTTGTAAAACATAAATTAAAAGTAATGGGAAGTATTAATAAAGATAGAGTAGAAGAAGAGGATCAGATTAAATTGAAAGCGATGAGGCTAAAAGTAAAAGCAAATGTATTTATTACATGCGCTAACAACAACAGTAATGCCTGTGTTTATTGGATAGTTACTGCTAATATGCCTTGAAGTGTGCTTCTATTCATTATGCCATCTAACTTCACAGTAATCTCACATGGTTGTCAATGTTATTTATATCTTACAGATGAGAAAACTGAGGAATACAAGTTAAATAAATTGTCAAAGTTAAACAGTGTGCTGTAAACCAGAATTATACTTGTAGTCTGATGCTAAACTTGTTCTTATCATATCTATGCTGTATTGTAAGTTCGTTTGCTTTTAAACCTTTCTGTGTTTTAAATTAAATTATTTATTGTTTCAGCCCCTTAGAGTCAATGGTGTTAAGGTTTATACTGAAAATGTAGACAAAAGACAAATTATTCTGGACCTTCAGATTAGGTAAGTTTTTATTTGTGTTATATTTTGTCATGGCTCTGTGTAAGATGGAGGATATAATATGAATTTCTTGTCTGCTTTTCATTGGAATTTGACCAAATTCTTCTAAATGTTAACAGTCTTTGAATTCTTCATAATCTAGATAACTGTCATTCGTTAAATATATTAAATATAATGGGCCTGGAAAGATGTCTCAGTAATTAAGAGCACTTGGTACTCTTCCAGACAGCCTGGGTTTGATTCCCAGCACCCACTTAGCAGCTCACATCTGTAATTCCAGTTCAGGGAATCCAATGCTTTCTCTTGGCCTTCATGGGCACCAGGCACACACCATGGTACACAGACATACATGCAGGCAAAACACCCCATGCACATAAAATAAAAGAAATTTCTAAAAATGTACTGAATAAAATAAACCATATGCTCTACATGAAACTATAATCTAAAAAATAATCCTTATGGACCTTAATATAAAAAATCCTCTACAAAATACTAGCAAATTGAATCTAGTAGCATAGGTTATATACCATCAAGAAGCAGAATTTATTCCCAGAATGCAAATGTGATTCAGGATATGAAAACCAATCTGTAAAACACACCGCTTGATTTTAAGAAGGAACTGGTGTGGCAAGATGACATCATAGTTGTTTCAGTTGATACAGAAGATGGGTTTAATGAAATTCAGTATTCTTTCATGATTAAAAAAAAAACAACCTAGAGAGTTAGACAATACAATGAAATAAAAGGCATCCAAATTGAAAAGCAGCATTTACAAATGATGAGATCTTACAGAAAAAAATCCCATAAAAAGTTTTAAAATCAGTTGTGATGGCATACGCATTCAATCCCAGCTCTGGGAGCAGACTGGCCTACATTCATTTTCTTAGCCAACCAGGCTGATTGTGAGACTGTCTTAGCTGTGACAAGACACCATGACCAGCAACAGCAACTCTTATAAAGAAAAACATTTCATTGGTGTGGGTGGTATAGAGTTCCGAGGTTTAGTCCATGATCATCATGACGGGGAACATGGAGGCATGCAGGCAGTCATGATGTTGGAGTAGTAGCTAATAATTGTATATCTTGCAGGCAACAGAAAGTAGACCAAGACACTGGGTGGTATCATGATCATAGGAAACCTTAAAACCTGCCCCCATAGTGGCACACTTCCTCTAATAGAGCCATGCCTACTCCAACAAAGCCACACTTCCTAGTAGTGCTGTTCCCTGTGAGAATATGGTACCAGTTGCATTCAAACTACCACAGAGACCCTGTCTCAACAAATAAAATTTAAAATATAATCTCTTAAAGCTAAAATGAATTTAACCAGGTAGCAAAATACAGTTAAATTCATTGCATTTCTATACATCACTAATGAAAAAAAATTACTAAATAGGAATGACAATTTCACTTGTAATAGGTTCAATTGACAGCTCCATTGACCAAATGATTGCTTTTTTTCAGTTCCTAAAACCCACTAAAGAAACAAATGGTGGTTCATTTATAATCCCAGGATCAAGGAAAGAGAGACAAGAGGATCTCTTATGCTGTGGCCAGCCACTCTAACCGTAATCAGTGAGCCCTGGGCATCGGTGAAAGATTCTCAAAATAAACAAGGCAAATGGTTATTAGCAGTTGAATCCCCTTTTTTGGGCCTAGACTAAGGATAATTTTTTAATAATTTGTGAGTTTCCAGAGTATATTAATAATTGTATAGACCTTGTATCAGTTGTTTAGATTATACAGTAAATATACAACTGACAGATCTATTGGACAAATCCACAACAGTATGATGTTGTGGAGGACCCATTTTGCAGAGCTGCGGGAGCACCTGTCGTTTGGATAAGTTACTGTCAATTCTGTAGAAATCTTCCGAAATTATGACGTTTTTCCCTTCTATAATATCCCAGCAGTGTATAAATCCGACCTTTCCTGTAAGGCCGCTGGATAACTCTCCCTACACCATGAAGCCATGGTGTGAAAACATTCATTCAACCAAACCTTTATTCTCATAGCCAAATCTACATAAAACTAGTCCCCCACAACTTTATTGACAGGGCTCATTGACGAGAAAGGAGCCCCAAACAGGAGGCATTGAGTAGAGAGAAGTCTGTCTACTCTAACAGCAGATGAAGCAAAGTGTAATCTGGCCTGTTGCTCTAACCTGGCAAAGTGCTAATATTCTATACTTACACTTCACCTTCATTTCAATTAATACAAGATCATAGCCCAGGAAATTAACTCTTTATACCCTTACCCCTAGAGATATAGGAAAAAAACCCGAGCCTCTGAAAACAGCCTCAGAGAGAAAAATTCTCACTTGGGCACCCTGCTGGAGTCAAAAGCAAAGCCTCCAAAGAAACTCTTTTTTTAACTCACCCAGCTAGGTGCTAAAACAAATCAAGCACCTTGCCTTCCTTCCAAGCCCTCAGGTTACTATGGCTACCAAGGCTAAGTCCCTAGCCACCAGGGAAGAAAGCGGAAATGCTCAGAAAATGCAACAGCACTGCTGCATTTTTCTACAATTAATCATAAATTTCTACACTTACGATATATAGTTAGTGCACGAAAACTTCTTAGAATTCTGTAGTGATTTAAAGTCCCATTCTTTTCTAGACTATATTCTGCTTTTTTATTTTGTTTTATGATATGAATAAAATTGTAAACCTCTCATTTTAAGAAAAGGGAAAAACAAGGTTCTGAATTGGTACATTCCTTTCCTAGAACTCCCATGTAGCCCGATGACACATTAAAAATAGCTTTTCCTGTTGGCAATGGCCAATAATCGTAAATATGGAGAATAGTGATCTGTCTGGTGTCTGCAAAGTTGCCCCAACTTCTGAGAAGAGCACTCTAAAGATTTATCCCCAAATAATACACTTTTGGTAAAAAAAAAAAAAAAAAAAAAAAAAAAAAAAAAACAGTAAATTTTGACATTCCATGTACTTTTATAGAAACTTGTACTACAAAAATTTAACTTCAGATACTCCAGAAAATAAAATATGCAAAACTCACACTGGATTTACTGTGGCATAAAGTCCCATTCTTAATCCTCCCGATATCTGCCAGGGAGCTCCACAGCCATGTCCCTCTGAGACACAAGGTGCCTCCTTGCCAGATCCACGGGTTTTTGTGATTCTATGAAATGCATGTTTGATGCTATTGTTACCACCTATGGAACTGCTAAATTTGTCTGTGTTTATATAAACTGAAAGCCTTGCGGAGAACAGCCTTTTCTTCTTCACCAAAGAATAAAGAAATAAGCAGGAGCAACGTGCTTGAGTCGGTTTGTTCTACCCTCAGATCTTTTCCTTGCCCCAGCCAGTTTTTGCTTGCTATAGACGTCCTGCTCTGGACCCTGAGAGGTTTAATGGGTTTAACCCCAAAATATACCTCAATAATTGTCTTTTAAAAAAAAAAAGGAGCGATAAATGTCTTTGATATGGGAAAATCTTCGTCTCTAAATTTTTGATGCTTGTGCAAATACCATCATCATCAGTGGAATAAAAGAGTTGTCATGGCCAACAGACCTGGGTATGAGCTCTGTGGTCGCCCACCTGTGTGTAAGGTTAGGCTGGGGACAATGATAAACTTCATGGGACAGAAACCTTTTGCTCATTCGTTGTTCTAGCATTAAACAGATTATTTTAGTGGTTCTTTGAATGAAATGCAGCTTTAGCAGCTTGTGTACTTTGCCGTTTTGTATGTTCTGGGTAAAGACCTTAGCACATTGGCAGCAGGAGAGAGGGGAAGCTGAAAAGAATCGGGAAATAAAGAGAACATGTGCTAGGCTTTCTGTTGGTTTAAAAAGGAAACTTTGATAGTTTTAAGGCAGGTTACCAGTAAATTTGGCGACAAGTAGAGAATAGTCCTCGGTGTGAGGAATCTGTATATAATGTATATTAGAAGGATTTTGCTCAAGTGATTAGACCAGTGGTTCTCAACCTCTGGTTTGCTGCCAGTGGAAAACGTGTCCAATGGACTTAGGAACTGAGAGATACTGCTAAGTAGCAACATTACAGTTATGAAGTAGCAACAAAAATAATTTTATGGTTGGAGGTCACCACAAAATGTGGATCTGTGTTGTCACAGCATTAGGAAGATTGATACTATGGGCTAAGACCCTTCCTGATTTGATTCATCAAATTCCCCAGGTTTATGATACCATACTTCTTATTTTATTTGTTTGTTTGGTTAGTTTTTTTGAAACAGGGCTACACTGTGTTATGTATTCTTGGCTCTCCTGGATCCCACTCTGTAGACCAGACTGACCTAGAACTCAGAGATCCTCTTGCCTCTGCCTCCTGAGTGCTGGGATAAAAGGTATGCTCCACCAACACCCAGCTGATACCAACTACATTTTTAAGAACCAAGGATACAGGTTGTCCTGGACAGTTTTATGTCAACTTGACACAGGCTAGGGTAATATGTAAGGAGAGAACCGCAATTGAGAAACCACGGCCATAAGATCAGGCTGTAGGCAACCTGTAGGTAATTTTCTTAATTAGTCTGGGAGGGCCCAGCCCATTATGGGTGGGACCATTCCTGGACTGGTGGTTCTGGGTTCTATAAGAAAACATTATAAGCAAGCCTACTGGTAAGCAGCACCGCTCCATGGCCTCTGCATTGGCTCCTGCCCCCAGGTTCTTGCCCTCAATTCCTTGAATGAACTGTTAAATAAAATTGTGAGTGAACTAAATCCTTTCCTCCCCAACTTGCTTTTGGTCATGGTGTTTCATCATAACAATAATATCCCCAGCTAAGACAGATCAAATCTCACACCATCCCGTGTGAAATGTCTTCAATATTTCATGTTTATGTTGGCAATAAATGCCTGTTTTGCACTGTCATTGTATAGAACCATTCGTTTTATATGTTTGAAAGTAATCACTGAGAAAAGTGAAATGTTAACAAGCTGTTTCTAACCTTTAATGTCATAAAGCCCTTTCAGCATCTGAGTGAGGATTTTTGTGACCAAGAAGAAAGCTGATGAGATCTACTGCTGGCAAAATAAAGTCCAACCAAAGGTTTTAGATGAAGATATTGTTATACAAATAAAAACATCTTCCATCAAAGGAGTGCTCTACCGGGCCCCACCCTGCATGGGCAGTTTCAGGAGAGCTGGCCCTGGTGTAGTGGGGGCTGGAGAGCTGGTCCTGTCCCTAGCCTGGGCAGAGCGGGAGAACTGGCAGGCTGACCAAGACAGCTGCCACCCAGGCCCACATCCAGGGCTTTGAACTGGCCCACCTACCATCTGTGTGCTGCTGGAGCTCCTGAAGGGGTCAGTCCTTAGGAACCAAAGTTGCAGGATCTCCATAACTCAGAACAACAGCAGGCTATCTGAGAGGAGTCCCAGCGAGGATCCGATATTGATAGTGTAGCAGAAGCCAGAGGCTTTGAAGCAGACTGATGCCCTCATTGCAATGAATGTTAGAAGTAAAGCTGTTTGGACAGAAGGATATATGGTGTGACACACCCTGACATACCACAGCTTCAACATTTTTTATCTTCTATTGGGAGGAGGTTTCAAGGGTGGAGCGCAGATATGGAAGGACTGGGAAATGAATGGGGTTGGGCTGCATATTGTGAAATTCACAAAGAATCAATACAAAAATTATGGGGGAGGGAGAGGAGTACTCCAGAGATTGCACATTGTTATTTATGTTTTCCTTTGAAACTGGATGTTCGCATGCTTTTAAAATTTTTGTTTTCTGAGATAGGATTTGAGCTGTCATTCTGCTTATACCTTTGACTGCTAAGAATCCAACATATATTTATACCTGATTTATGTAAGGCTGGATAGTAAAAGCCACAGCCTTTTGCATGCTAGACAGTCAGTCTACCAACTGAAGCATATCCTTATCTACCTTGTTTTGTGTGGGTTTTTTTGAGACAGTAGTCCTCCAGCTTCGGCCTCCCATGTGTTGGATATCTAAATTTAATTAAGATTTTTATGTGTAGCAAAAGCAAGAGCATATGGACAGTATTCCTCTCAGGTGATATAGCAGTGTTGAAACCTAACAGCAATATATCCATCCAGCCTGGAATGGCGGAGGAGTCTTGTAGTATAGGCTACATCTTTCAACCAGTTTTGCCTACAGTATGGATATGGCTACTTTACCCATTCTGTTTGGTTATGTGCTTTGCAATGCCTAATCTTAATAGATAGCTAAGAGGATAATTAATTTCACTCAGTGTGTGTAATGAAGGATTTTTCTGTGCTAGTTTTGTAGGGAATTGTGAGATTGATTTGGAGATTAAACGATACTTCTGTAGAGCTGGTGTGAAAAGTATTCAGGTAAGTTTTTCAAATTTTCATTTTTAGAGTTTTTAAGGATATATTCAGGAAAAAAAGCTGTGGAGTTTTTATTAAGTACGAAGTTTTTGAAGTAAGTTTGTATTTGTGCTTATAGCTGAATAAAGTGTCAAGCCATGTGCTAAAGAGTCGCCAAGTGGCCTTGATGAATTATGTTTCCTGACTTGTGATTTCCTATGTGAGTTCAGATTCATGGGACCATGCGGGTGATCCTGGAGCCCCTGATTGGAGACATGCCTCTAGTTGGAGCTTTGTCCATCTTCTTCCTTAGGAAACCAGTAAGTAGTTACCTCATGATGTCATGTTTCTCTCCCTCTCTTGGCAGTAATGTGCATATACAGAAGGATAAAGTGAAAGAACAGATTCTGTCCTTAACTCTTCCCTGAGTGTTTCACTTCTTTATGCCTTAAGTAAGGGTGTGATCTCTTTATAGTCTTCCCTGAAGATAGAAATATTTGTGGAGTTGAGGAAAGAAATTTTTAACTAAATAAGTTGAAGCTACCTTTGACCTGTCACTAAGGATGATTTTATAGCATTTGCTTATTTAATCCTCCACTTGGAAAGCTAGATACTGTTTCCTTTTACTGACCTGGAACTGAACTTAAGAGGTCTCTCTGTATGAGTCACCCCAAGATTAAGTACTGGAGCTCTGACAGACTTCTCTCTCTGACTCCCCTGCTGAGATATGTGCTTCTTCTTGCAAATGTATTTTCTTCTTTTTTTTGGGGGGGGGGGGAGTTGTATTTGATGAACTAGAGGTCCAGCTTTGTATGTTCTGCTTGTAAATGGAATTCTGATTGGTCTTGTAGACCTTGCCTAAGGATGATGCTGTCTCTTCATATTTTTAGATTGTATTTCTTTTGTTATTATTGTAAGTGCTCTAAAACAAGAAGGAAGCTATTTCTTACTCTTACCGGACAGGCTTCTTTCTCCTTACCCAAGCTTCTGCAGCCTATGGTTAGTGCTGTCTTCAGTGCCTTTTTTTTTTTCTTTAAATGCTAGGAATTGAACCCAGAGCTTTGTGTGTGCTAAGTTAGCATTCGGCCTGCATTTTAAGCCCAAACTCCCCCATCCTAACCACATTTCTCACTGCTGCCCACTGGCACCAACTACAGAGATGGAATGTCTAATGAGGAAAAATATTAACCGTGTCTTTTACTTTTTAATTCTTCTCCTTTTCTCTGGCTATCTTAAGCCACTTTACTTAATTTATTTCCAGAAGATTTCTGTCTGTCTTCCAAGACAAGTTGCCTTGTAGTATTGAAAGTTGTATGGCAGGAGCAGTTAGTGCTACACATGTGTCTCCACAGTTCAAGGGAGGCTCGGTGAGCTGCCTCCTAAGAGGGACACTGCCTATGATCCTTGGCAAGTCTTCTGGGAAGGTACTACTAACATCATGCACAATTTAAGATGGAAGGATCATTGTGTGTAATTTGGCTGAAAAGACTTAATGAAAATTATTACTTGATTTTGAAAACATAGGTTTAGCTACATCAAATCAAATGTAACTTGGACACTGCTTCTTCTGCATGAAAATGCATCTGTTGCCTCCAGCATTGTTGTTCTCACTTTCTGATTTTTAATGTGTTTAAGTATTTGCATTAAAATTCAAAAAGCTATCAAGGCATCTGTTCATTTTTGCTTTATTGAATTTTTGAGAAATAAGTTCACAGATTTAAAATACATCTTTTTTTCTCCTACCAGTTTTTTTTTTTAAGCCAGTTTATATAAGAACTGATTTCATTTATGGCTGTTTTAAAAGTTATTTAATAAACTGCTAAAAAGTTTAATATTTCTGTCTTTGGAAATATTTTTAATATAAAGATCCTCTCCCCTGGAGTAACAAAACCAAGGTCTGTGTCTTCCTCACAGCGTAGCAGTGCTTTCTCATGGTTTGTTTCTCCCACCAATGAAGTCACTTTTTAAAAAAGCTTACAGTATTAACTCCCAGAGGACATTTGAATACCTAGAACAGAAGGAAGAAATATCAGAATCTCCCTTTTCCATATATGGTGAATAAAACCACTGAACATGCTTTAGAGGGAAGGGAATTTTTTTCAGTTACTTTCAACTGGAAAATATGAGAACTTACTACTGTTAGCTGCCAAATAATTCTTCCTGAGCCTGGTAAAAAATATAACCAAAAGGGCTTTTTTGTTTTACTTTTCTTTTAACTGCCCAAATGATTCAGAGTCTAGTGCCAAAGATTTATATAAAACACTTACATGTTTTTCTGCTTGCTGATTGTTTAATTTGTTTTGATAATGTGGTTCTTATTGTGGAGGGAACAGTCCATGTGGAATAGTGGTGGGATGCTGTGGGGACAGGGAACAGTGCAGTATGGGTGCCAGTTGGTGGCTTTGCCTGGTCTCCTTGTCTTCTTGCTGTGACAGCAGCCCATTCCATTTCTCTATCCCAGTTCCCTGTCTGTAACATGAGTGACACTAAAGTCTAGGCCATGATATCCATGCTGTTAAAAACATATTACAGTGCCTGGCACACAGTAAAAAGTTAAATATAGGCCTAGCATTTTAGTGAAGTTGTGACACTACGGTGATGCTAGAGTAAGGAGAAATTGTGGATAAGTGTTCTGATAACCAGTGGGGATGAAGCTCAGTGCTACAGTTCCTTGCCTACCATGTGTCAGGCCATAGATTTGAATCTCTAGGAGTGAAAAGGTAAAAAAGTTCTGATAACCAAAGGGAGGGCTAGGAAGATGGCTTAGTAGGGCTTGCTGTGTACTTCACTGAGGTAAGGACCTGATCCCAGATGCCCAGAACCAGTGTTAGAAACCCAGGGCTGGGAGTTGGGGGGGCACTGACAGGAATTTTTCCAGAGCTTATTGGCCAGCTGGTCTAGAAAGTTGATAACGTCTGTGTGTAGGAGAGACGTCACCATTATGTGCATTCCTATATTGCTCTCCACTTGTGAATCATACATTTGCTAAGTGAACTAGGACAATCAGAAGTATTTGCACAATTCTAGAAATCATGTGGCTTTTCTGCAGTGTGAGTTTGTTTATGTATTAACAATGATGGTAGAAAACCAATTATTTATATAGTTGAATCAAATTGAACAAGTATACTCAATGTGGGGACTACTGCTTATCATCTAATTGTTCTTAGGGATAGGTATGCTGCATTTTCCTGTATTTCTATGCCCATAGGCTTGTATCAAGAGTAATATGTGGTATACATAGTAAAGCAAGAATAACAAATAAAAGATTTTCACACTGAACTCAGGGTTTGACTTTCTGTTCCTTGTAGATGTGTGGTATAGGTATTAAAATTTCTTCACAATAACTGCCTCTTAACTCTAATTGCTCCTGTCACTAAACTTAATATTGTAATGAGAAGTATATGAGTAATACAAGATTTACTATGGGCTCTTGGTTTAGTAGAAAGTTTTGCAAATACACTTATCATCACTTCAATGTGTATACATTTTGTATTATAAGTAGGAAGAAATAAATGGCAGATCTACAGCATAGCTCTCATGGTGCTATGATTCAAATTGTGATATCCATTTAGCCATTCCTTATTTGACTTCTTTTTTTTAATTGATTTTTATTGAGCTCTACATTTTTCTCTGCTCCCCTCCCGTTCAATCCTCTCCCAAGGTCCCTATGCTACCAATTTACTCAGGAGATCTTGTCTTTTTCTACTACCCATGTAGATTAGATCTATGTATGTCTCTCTTAGGGTCCTCATTGTGGTCTAGGTTCTCTGGTATTGTGATTTGTGGACTGCTTTTCTTTGCTTTATGTTTAAAAACTTCTTATGGGTGAGTACATGTGACAATTGTCTTTCTGTGTCTGGGTTACCTCACTCAAAATGTTTTATAGCTCCATTCATGTCTGCAAAATTCAAGATGTCATTTTTTTGGCTGTGTAGTACTCCATTGTGTAAATGTACCACATTTTCCTTATCCTTTTTTTTTTTTTTTTTTTGTTTTGGTTTTTCGAGACAGGGTTTCTCTGTGGCTTTGGAGCCTGTCCTGGAACTAGCTCTGTAGACCAGGCTGGTCTCGAACTCACAGAGATCCACCTGCCTCTGCCTCCCGAGTGCTGGGATTAAAGACATGCGCCACCATCACTCAACTTAACAGTCTGCCTATTTATTTATTTATTTATTTATTTATTTATTTATTTATTATATAATATTCTGTCTGTTTGCATGCCTGCAGGCCAGAAGAGGGAACCAGACCCCATTACAGATGGTTGTGAGCCCCCATGTGGTTGCTGGGAATTGAACTCAGGACCTTTGGAAGAGCAGACAGTGCTCTTAACCTCTGAGCCATCTCTCCAGCCCCTCCTTATCTCTTCTTCGGTCGAGGAGCATTTAGGTTGTTTCCAGGTTCTGGCTATGACAAACGAAGCTGCTATGAACATAGTTGAGCACATGGCCTTGTGGCACAATTGAGCATCCTTTGGATATAGTTGAGCACATGTCCTTGTGGCATGGATGAGCATACCAAAAGTGGTATTACTGGGTCTTGAGGAAAGTTGTTTCCTAATTTTCTGAGAAATCACCACACTGACATTCAAAGGGACTGTACGAGTTTGCATTCCCACCAGCAATGCAGAAGTGTTCCCTCTTCCCCACAATCTATCCAGCATAAGTTGTCATCAGTGTTTTTGATCTTGGCTATTCTTATTGGTGTAAGATGTAATCTCAAGAGTTCTTTTTATAAACATAGCATTTAAAATGTTCTTTTATGGAGATGTATTTTCCAGTTGTGTTTGTATCACTTAAGTACTAACAACAGGTTGGTGTTTTAGTGCCATGTAAGGGCCTTTACAGTCTTAAGTCATAGCTGCTAAATATAAGCTGGTAACATTCACTTATGTCTGTTCAAACAGAAGCATACATTTTTGGAGGGGAAGACAGGGTCTCTGTGTAGTTGAAACTGGAATCAAACTCACTCTGTAGGTCAGGCTTGTCTTAAGTTGAAACAGTCCTTAGCTTCCCAGGTGCTAGGGATCCCATCTAGGTCCTCATGCATGCTCTACCTTTGAGCTTCACTTCTAGATCAGAGTCATACTTTCAAAAATAAAACAAGTCAGCTATTAGATAATTTATAATGATATTTTATTTACAAAATTAGTAAGAGAGAGACAACGTTCCTTTGTTGCCTACACTGGTTCTGAACTTTTAGTCTCAAGCAAGTCTCCTGCTTCAGCCTCACAAGTAATTGAGATTCGAAGCACATTTCACTGAAAATATAGCACATTTATGTTGTAATAGATTTCTTTGTTTGTTTGTTTGTTTGTTTTTCAAGACAGGGTTTCTCTGTGTAGCAGCTTTGGAGCCTGCCCTGAAACTTGATCTGTAGACCAGGCTGGCCTTGCACTCACAAAGATCTACCTGCCTCTGCCTCCTGAGTGCTGGAATTAAAGGTGTGTGCCAGCACTACCCGACTTATAATAGATCTCTTGAACCAACCGTGGACATGTCTTATACTCTTGCCAGTCTTACTGAGGAATAGCAGTGCATATGGGGGAAAGCTGAAGAATTGATGAATCATTGCAACTAGGCAGAGAAATTTTTTGTTTTGAGTTATTTTGGTAAAATAAGTAGGTTGTCAAAGCTGATAATGGGAGTGGTTTTCAGATGACTGCATGGAACATGTGTAATATAAGGAAGGGGTTTGAAGATCAAAACTGGATGGAGAGTCCTGACTCCTGGAACTTGCTCTGTACACCAGGTTGGCCTTGAATCAAAGATCCACCTGCCTCGCATCTTCCCAGTGCTGGGATTAAAGGCATGTGCCACCATGCCTAGTATTCTAGGTTTTCTAGTAAGATCAGAATATTTTGCTGGGGTAGAGAGATCCTTCTCCCTTTAAGTGAGCATATGTATTCGCTGGGCTTGGTGGTGCATGTCTTTAATACCAGCACTTGGGAGACAGAGACAAGCCAGTCTCTGTGAGTCTAAGGCCAGCCTGGTTTTATAGTAAGTTCTAAGTCAGCCAAGGCTATGTAGTGAATTCTGTCTCAAACAAACCAACAAATAACAAAGACAAATAGCAAAACATAGGATATTCACTGAATGTTAACTTATCATAAAAAAGAAATTGGAAAATATTTTTGGGATTCATCCATAGGAGGAAGGGCAAACAAATTATATATGCTTTTAGTAGAGAAAATTATGGCATTATCAAAAAGTAAAAACTGAGACAGGTCTTCATGTGCAGTGAAAGAAAGCTGTCTTTGATGTATTAGCCCTTGGGAATGGTGTGTATCATACTTCATTTCCACAAACCTGTTTGTATTTGCTCTGATGCCTGATGTTTAATTCAGATGTTTAATTCTTTTCCTCCTTTTTAAAAAAACAGCTTTTAGAGATTAACTGGACAGGATTGACTAATCTCCTGGACATCCCTGGACTGAAGTAAGTCTTGTCAGTTTGACTGCAGTGGCTGCTGAGGGAAGTCTGCCTCTCCTCACGTTTGTTCTTGAGAAAGTGGGTCACATTGGAACCTAAATGTGAAGTTTCTAAACCAAAGCAGTGGAAGCTCTTTTCCATTCAGTGACAACTTAATGAATAATAAACAAGTCACCAAGTGTACATTTCCCTGTGGGAGGTTAGATGAGTCACTATCCATGTGCCTGAAATGGTAGATTAGGACAGAGTGCAGTCTGTCCTTCAAAGCTTCCTTTTTGTTCTTTTGATTATTTTGTTTGAAGTTTAAAATGCATGACTTATTTGTTATTAGTTACATTTATTTCTAGTGGCTATTTTGCTAATCTGTGCGTTTTTATCCTTAAATAGCTTACAAATTCAATTCCAAAACTTTGATTTTAGACTACTTTTTTCTATTTCCGTATACTTGTTTATGCCTCTGAAATGACTCTTAAAATCAAGTTTTGTTTCATTCTGAGTTAAAAAAGACAGCAGCTTTACTAATCTGAGACAAGTCAGTAGTAAAATGTCCATGGTTTACCAGGTTAATATAAGTACTGTTATCTGTGGATAAGAAAATACAACTTTGACAGGTTTCTTGATAAGTTCATTAGAATCTTAATTACAAACAAAATAGTGATTTAAATTGGCACTTTTAAATCTTTTCTTGGGGATTAAACTCAGGACTTTTTTTTTCAGGGCTGGGACTGGTTTTGAGACAGGGTTTCTCTGTGTAACTGCCCTAGCTGTTCTGAAACTAGCTCTTGTGGACTAGGTTAGCCTCAACCGCACAGAGATCCACCTACCTCTGTTTCCCTAGTGCTGAGATTAAAGGCATGCACCACCACCGCCCAGCTGAAACTCAGGATTTTGTATTTGCTAAACTACATTATACCTCTAGCTACACACCCAGCTCTCCAAATGATAATTTGCAAAATAATAATTCAGTGTGTCACCTTTAAAATTCAGTGCTGTCACTCAGCTGAGATATGGGTACTACATGCCTACTCTAACCCGACCACAGTTCTTAGCACTTGGACATAGATGGGAATCCCACAGGTTTTCTCAGAGAGCTTAACATGCAGCTGCCTTTATAGCTCCCAGAGCATTCTTTGTGGGATATTAGGCTCAGGTCGGTGTTGATGCCAATTAATGCACACTGTTCATACAGTCTGCAGGTGAGTCCTTGAGCTTGTCTTCAGACAGATTGGACAGGGTGGGCCCTATGATTTTAACAGCCAGAAGAAGCCAAGGAATGTTCAATTATGTGGACACCATGGCCCCCAACTCATGAGTGATGTAGCTGTATCCCACATAAAGGGAGAACTTTCTCTGGAAATAGCCGTGCTTGCTGGATTTTGTTAGTCTGCTGTAAGCAACAGGTATCTGCAAAGGTTAATGTAGGAACACTTCTTGTACCTTGTCTTTCTTCAGCGTCATAGGAGGACTTAAATAAGAAGGCTAATTGATCATCTCTCTGCTCTGCAAATGACATAGTATGACCTCTGAAAATGGCAATGTGGCATAGAAGGATATGCCCTGCCCCTCACAAGACTGCAGCCAGTCTGAAACCATTTATTTACCAAGGATCTATACACAATCACAGTAGACACATTCATGTGGATATGCACATTTCATTTGCACACATAACTAGTTTCATCTTAGTTGTAATATAAGCAGATTTCTTTTTTATAGTATCTTCTATTAATGTGTAAATCTTATATGTAAGTATAAACTATATTATAGTATATATTGAATTATATCACGAAAATACATACTTAAAAGACTTGGGAAAATAGTTGAGTTGACAAAGTGTGTGCTATGCATCAGAACCTTAGTTTGATCTCCAGCATCTGTATAAAAAGCCAGGTGTGATCGCATGTACTTATAATTCTAGCACAGGGATATGATGCTGGTGAATTACTGGAGCTCTCCAACCAACTATCTTAGACTAAATCTTCCAACGCTAGGTCCTAGTGATTGGTCTCACTTTAGAAAACAAGATAGAAGGCATCTGAATAACAATATCAAATGTTGACCTCTTTTCACCACATGAAGACACATGCACAAATATGCACACATACCTGTATGCACACACACACACAAATACATGCTTATATATGACACGTACAGAGATAAATATGCATACATTATTAAAAGTAAGCTATCTATGGCATAGTGACAATATATAGAAATATCCTTCTAAAATAAAATGACATATTTAGATATACTATATATAATCTGTATGTAATTGTATATATTTTATAAAATATAGTATTTGTGATGCATATTTTATGTAATAAAATATAAAATTAAACTGTGTAATAGGAAATCGCACAAAGATTTTCTATTAAGCCTGATATAGTAGTACCTACCTTCTAGGAATCCCAGTGCTTGGGAGGTAGGGACAGGAAGATCAGAAGTTCAGTGCCATCCTTGGCTACATAGCAGATTTGAGGCAAGCTTTCCCTATGTGAGAACCCTATGTTAAAAAGATTTTCTGTTACATATATCAAGTATAGAGCAAGCCTTATGTTAATAATACTCAAAAAAAAGATACTATTTAATAACAGAGCTTGATATAGTGAACTCTTATGCAGGCTTTGCAAGATAAGATATATGTTGTATTCATGGGCTACAAAAAGAACTGGAGTTATTACAAAGTAAAAATAATGTCTGAATCAGTTCACTGTGAAAACTATTTTTGTTGTCATGCTGTAAAATCCCCGTTAGGTTTCAGGGAAGAGCTTATTCTACACAGAGAATATGGAAGAGGGCAAAGGTCGGGGTCAGAAGCAGAAGTCAGTGGTATGCGCAGGAACAGTGCTGTAAGCCAGACTTGGAAACCAGTACCTGAACCAGAAGTTGTAGACAGTTGGATGGATGCTGCGTAGGGGTCTGGGAGCAGTGTCCACACCTACTAACTAGTACAGGGCGCTGGTGAGCCTGCCTGGGATGTTGGCCACAGTTACTGCTGTGACGGATCGCTATCTTCTGAGCATAGTAGTGCCAGCAGAAGGCAAGTGCTATGTTATCCCAGCAGTGAGGAGTGAGATTCTTTAGGACTTCAGTTAGGAAGGGGTCTCTGTTTCAGCAGGTATTTCAGTATAAACAAAGCAATCACTTTGAGAGGAAATGCTGAAGGTACGAAGGAGTTGACATCGGCTCTAGCTCCTTACAGAAGAGCAGGCGCACAGCACCTGCAGCTCAAGTGTTTTACATCTCTTCAGAAGTGTTAACAGCAAAGATGACCTGCTGCATTCCGATAGGAAGATTGGTGCTGTGTGTGACCGAGTCCTTTCCTTTTATTAAACCGAAAGGTCCATATCTTGTTACCACATGTGGATCACTTTTGCTTAAGTGATTATGACGACAGAGGACATGTTTGCATGTGTAATTGTGTATATTTGCTAGTAACTCAACACCAGACAGGATGGCAGTAATCATTCTTTTTAAAACTCAGGGTTCTAGTAAAAATTTTTAGAGTAAGTATATGTCTCCAAAAGTTTTGTCGTATATGCATTGTTTAATTCTCACTTCTACCTTAAAAACAGGTAAAGATAGATACACAGTGCTTTCCTGTAGTCTTTTATTTGTATTACTGAGTTTGTTATGCAGTGTTACAGTTGATCAAAATTATTGAAGTATTCAGAATGAAGAAAAACAACTAAATTATTTTACTTCATTTAAAACAATATACAACAGTAAAGAAATAAAATATGCATAAACATGAAATGGGTTTGTGAATGTTCATTGTTATTCTCTATGCTTTTACATATATTTGAAATGTTTATGTAAAAAACAAATATAAAGAAATGTAACGTAACTATGTTTAAGTCATATAGGGATATTTGAAAGATTGTTCATTAAATTATGAAATGGAGCTAGAATTTTATGTTATATTCCAAAAAAAATTCTGCTTCATAGTTACAACAGCAGTGTAGCTGAAACATTAAATATTGCCTCTAAGTACTATTCTAGGAAAGTTAGGGAACTCCCATCCCCTACATGGCTATAGGATCAAGATTGAACATATTTAAATATATATATATACACACATATATATATGATTGTTCTTTGTCTTTCAACTAACAGTGGTTTATCTGATACTATCATTCTGGATATAATATCAAACTATCTGGTGCTTCCCAATCGAATCACTGTTCCTCTTGTCAGTGAAGTTCAAATAGCGCAGTTGCGGTTTCCCATACCAAAGGTAAGCATGTGTTTGTATTCATTAGTAATTAAATACTTACCACGACCTTTTAAGCACAAGGCGTTTTTGTTTGTTTGGTTTTTATTTGTTGTTTTGCTTTGTTTTTAGACAGGGTTTCTCTGTGTCGCCCTGGCTATCCTGGAACTCACTTTGTAGACCAGCTAGCCTCAAACTCACAGAGATCCTCTTGCCTCTGCCTCCCAAGTTCTGGGATTAAGTGTTCCACCACTGCCTGGCCTAACCACAGTCAGTGTGTTAATATTTAGACTTTTTTTGTCTTTCTGAACAGCAGTGTTGCCATTTGTGTTAATACATTGGTAGCTGCCCTGCATTCCCTCAGAGATGTATTAGGGAGCCTCTGCCCCTAAGGCTGTCCAAAGACTTCAGGAGTTCTTATGCTTCAGTCACACCCTTCAGGGTATTACTAGGGCTCAGTTCTACAAATATAATCACAAGTCATAAGGATAGCAGTGAGCAGCTGGCAAAAATCATCTCAAAAGGTATATGCTATATGTGTTTTTATGGAGATATAATCATTCTCAACAACAAGTGAAATGAGAGTGCTGATACAATAAAAATCCTGATATGACATGGGAATGTGATTATTTCTGAAATTTCTTAATGTATAAGGTGACTGTCTTAGTTATTGAAGTTAGTATTGTTGTATAGAGACACTGTGACCATGGCAACTGTTGTAAAGGAGAGCACTTCATTTGGGCCTTGCTTATAGGTCGGAGGTTTAGTCCATTATCAGCATGTCAGGGAGCTTGGTGGCACACAGACAGACATGGTGCTGGAGGAGGAGCCGAGAGTTCTACATCTGGATCTGTAGGCAGCAGGAAGAGAACCACTGAGGCTGGTTTGGACTTCTGAAACCCCACAGCCCACCCCTAGCGACACATTTCCTCCAACAAGGCCACACCTCTTAATTCTCAAATAGTGCCAACCTATGGGAGCCATTCTTATTCAAACCACCACAGTGACAGAAGAGGCACTTGTGTAACAGCTGTACTGAACGAAAAAGAAAAAGCAGAACTCTTGAACTTGAAGGTTGTTATGGCTGGATCTCAGTTTCAGCTTCTATGAAACGTGGAGCATAGAACTGGGTCATATGTCTATGGAGTCACCTTGAGTAGTCACTGTAGGCAAAAGTGAGACCTGTCTCTTGTCATTAGAGATTCAGTTATGTCAGCCATTTGTTGTGGATCCACAGAGGTCAAGAAAATAGTAGTATTGTGGATTGTCTACAATAAAGAATAGTACTGATACATTCTATACATTCTGTCTATACACTCTATCCTAGAATGTTTACATTCTAGTTGTACTAAAGCAGGAGGGAAGGTGGTGCCATTTTAATGGCTGTATTGTTTCCATTTTTATTTCTGAAATGGAAATAGTGTTCCTCAATGCCCTTATTTTCTCACTTAGATTTCAACAATACAAAAATTGGCAAACACACATGATTATACATGCATATAGACACACACACACTGCATATATATTAGTTCTTTTTTTTTTTTTTTTGGAATCTTTCTCTGATGTTGAGGCTTAAACCCAGGACCTATGTTCTAGCCTATTCCTTTTATTTTTTTAAGAAAGCACACATCATTTAATTTGATGATAAGCTTATATTATTCACATTTAACAGATTTGATACTCTACATATAAAAAGGGAACTCTTTCTTCTAAGATACAGGAGTCTCTTGTGTGTATTAAGTACAATAAGCACTGGAGCCAGCTTAGATCCAACTCCCTTTGTTTTCTGAACTTCAAACCAATGTTGGGAAAAGATGTGGCCACATCATCTTAGCTGTAGCCATATGAAACTACAGACAAGAATCTTTAGTGCTTTCTGAAGTGTATTCATCTTCAGAGAAGTTTGTCTTGTCCTGACAAGCCAGAAATGTTAGCCTGTAATTTTTTAAGCATTTGGAGGAAGAGTATTATTACCCCACCAAACTTTTATTTGTCATAAATGAAATGAGTAAATATTTTTCTCCTACAAATAAGACAACTTTTGAGAAGAACATTTTATTTTTGATGAGTACTGCATATTTCAAAGTTTCAGTGTCTTCTCTACAAAGTAGGCCTAATGATAGTGTTTCATAGAATTGGTCTAAAAATTGAATGGCATGGTTGCTAAAAAGAAGTGCTTAGTAGCACGTCTGATATACCCTACATGTTAGTTAGTACCTACTTAGTCCCAGAATGTAAGGATTTTTGGTGAGCCTTGAGGCCCTGTTGTTACTGACTTCCTGGGAATAAGTATTTTGCTGCACTGGGACCTCTGCAGTCAGTGTTCCCTCGATCAAGAATGCTCAAGGCTCTCTGCAAGCAGCTGTGTGGCTCACTGCATTTCTACTGGGGAGTCCTCACCCATAAACAGTTCTACTGTCTAGTGGGATGACATACTGTCTTCCCTTAATACTTGCTTTCTGAGAACTTATCCCAGCTGAACCGTCACAGTCCCTGATGGGGTATGCACTGTGTGTCTCCCATTGAACCGTCACGTCCCTGCTGGGGTATGCACTGTGTGTCTCCCATTGAACCGTCACGTCCCTGCTGGGGTATGCACTGTGTGTCTTCCATTCTTCATAGCAAATAGTCTAAGTAGTTTGCTGCTCTTTTCAGGGTGTCCTACGAATTCATTTTATTGAAGCTCAGGATCTTCAGGGGAAAGACACCTACCTTAAAGGCCTCGTCAAAGGAAAATCAGACCCCTACGGAATTATCCGAGTGGGCAACCAAATCTTCCAGAGTAAGATTATCAAAGAGAACCTTAATCCAAAGTGGAATGAGGTATATGAGGTAAGCAGTGGGGGCCATATATAGTAACTGAGTGAGGGCACTAGAAGTCTGATTCCAGATCTGTCACACAGAAGTATAGCTAACTTGGACCATTGTTTAAGTTTTTTTAATTTCCCATTTTGAGTAAATTTTGTACTTTTTTAATTTAAAAATAAAAAACATGTAATGTGAACACAAGGGATTTTTAAGCATTAGTTATGTAAGGCTGCCACAATGATTAATGGCAATATATTTTCTTAATATAAATAAGTTTTTCTGGCTATAAAATATTACATATGGCTGAAATACAAGCATTAAAATATGCCATTTTATACATCTTTTTATTAAATATCTAGACTTTTTTATATTTCATTGGATAGATAACTGCATGGTTATTGGCTTTGTTTTTGTTATATTTGTTTCCTTTTGTTTTATTTTGTTTATGTTCATTTTTTTCTCTACATTTTATTTCCTTTCCTTGAGATGTTATATGCATGTATTTCAGGCTGTCCTGCAACTCATGATCGTCCTGCTTCTGCCTCCCAAGTCCTGTGATTAGAGGTGTGTACCACCACACCCAGCCAGGTTCGGCCTTACTTTTCATAGTCATTCCACTGAATTTATTTACCTGCAGAGGCCTGGGCTACTAACTATAGTACTATGGCCAATGTTCTTCTAGTGCAGCGTCAAATGTAGCCTTAAATTGCTGGATCCAAAATTGAGGTTTTAAAGAACAGAGTTGTTCTTGAGAATAGTAGTGCATATGCCCCTTTCTTGTCACCCTGTGCTCTCTGTCCCCTTGTCAGTTCCGTATTCTTTGAATGGCTAAGTGGCTAGTGGTTTTTCAAGGTCAGCAGTTGGATGGAACTACTTCAGATCTTAGAGCTATTTCCTGCATCTTCCCTTGGCCTTAGGCCTTAGATAGCCCTGTGGTAATTGCACGCTGACACTCTGTTTCAGGGCCCATTGATAGGGAATTCAGGTAACCAAGAAACATGCCCAGCCGACTTGCTGTGGGCAAGTATTTTAGAATGGCCCAGTCATCAAGAAGTATGTGTGGTCTGACAGTAAAAAAGTACACCTTTAAAACTGCTGACGGCTAGAGAAAAGTACATGGTGATATTTGTTATAATCACCATACTTAGTACTTGATTGTGGTAGTAAACCTGCAGTAACTACGAACCGTTGATTTTCAGGCTTTAGTCTATGAACACCCTGGACAAGAATTGGAGATTGAACTCTTTGATGAAGATCCAGATAAGGATGACTTCTTAGGAAGGTGAAGAAAGAATTTGGGAACACCCTCACTGATGCAGTCTCTCTCTCTCACTGATGCAAGCTCTAAAATCCATATATTTACACATTTTCCATGGCTTTTATGTGTAGCATTTATTTTACCAGATATTTTTCTAAAACGATTTTACTTCTAAAAAATCCATTATAGCAACAATAGCACTAGGCCTGATTACACCAGCCAGTTAGACCATGCAAACTAGAGGCCCTAGCAACTGTGCAGAGCCCCTCTTTGTGCAGGGAGGTCTATAAATATGTCCTTCTAAGCTGTAAATGTGGTCTTAATTTTAAGCTGTCTCAGTTTTCTAGGGTATAGTCATTTACATTGTACCCATATATTGTGAGTAGTAAATACTGATTTATTTGCTTCGGTTAAAGAATTAATATATCTATGAAAAATGGGCTTTCAAAATACATTTCTGAGGCTGAGAGGTGGCTTTGTGGTTAAGAATTCTTGCTGTTTTTTCCAGAGGATCCAAGCTTAGTGCTTGGGACTCACGTCAGATGGTTCACAGCTGCCTGAAACTCTAGCTTCAAGAGCCTTGATAATGCCTATAATTCAAGCACAGAGGAAACAAAGACAAATGAGTCCTTGGGAATTATTAGGGTCAGTCTAAAATTGCTTAATGAGTTCCATCCAAGGGTTGTGAGATACCTGGTCTGAAGAAAATAATACCAAGCCGGGTAGTGGCACACGCCTTTAATCCCAGCACTTGGGAGGCAGACACAGGTGGATCTCCGTGAGTTTGAGGCCAGCTTGGTCTACAAGAGCTAGTTCCAGGACAGGCTCCAAAGCATAAGAGAAACCCTGTCTCGGAAAACCACAAAGAAAAATAAGACCATAGTGTAAGAACAATAAATGAGGTTGTCCCCTGGCCTCCACATGTGAGCATTTGCATCTGCACACATAATGAATGGATATGCATACACACATCTAATACATGTCTATCTAAGGTTATTTAAATGAGTTTATTTGGGGGGAGGGGATGGTAGAGGATTAGATTACATTGGAGAAGTTTATGCCTCATCAAGTATGGCCTTGTGTGTTGTGCTCTGACTTCAGAATCTCTAAGACCCACGTGTTGTGCTGTAAGTTCAGAGTCTGTGACTGTGTACACAGCTTAAGTAGGACCTGGACCATGATCAAATCAAATATGCTATGTAAGCGTGTAGATGGGAGGTCATTAAAGCAGCTAGGGCATGTTATTGACTAGGACTGAGAGCGGACAGATTAGGAGATATGTTCAGAAGTATGTGTAGATTAAGCCCTTCTTCCCCATTCCTGTGGAAGTAGTGCCATGGTTGAATTAGAGTGAATCGTTTGGTGATAATAGAACCTACTCTCTGACCTACTAGTGGACTTGATATAGTGTGGACTTAAAATTCATTATGCAAATAACTGAATCCCCAGTGATGACTGGTAGCACCAAGGGATGACCTATTAGCTAGCCAGGCGTGGTGGTGCACACCTTTAATCCCCATACTTGGGAAGCAAAGGCAGGTAGATCTTTGTGAATTCAAAGTCAGCCTGGTCTAAATAGTGAGACTGTCTCTCAAAAACATAAATCAGCTAGAGCTGGGGAGTTTACTTGAAAGCATTTGCCATGAAAGCATGAGAATCAGTTCAGACCCAGAACCCACAAAAATGCCAGAAAAGCATGGCAGCTGTCTGTACTTGGAAGACTGGGTGTGCCCAGAACAAACTTACTAGTCATATCAGGCTCTGAGTTCAGTTGAGAGATACTTTCTTGATGCATAGGGTGAAGAGTAACTGAGGAAGAAGACCCTTATGTCAGCCCCACACCTGAACACACACACATACATAGTCAGTTCTGGCCTTCTTGTGTGTGCTCAATATTTTGACCACAAAAATTTAACTTTTCTCTTTTTTACCCTTCTTTTTATTTCTTTGGGCATAGATTATAGAAAGCCTTGAGGAAAATAGCTTGTTTCCTGGAAAATTGTATAGCATAATTTCCATTTCTAGAGCTCTTTCCATAGACAATATTCAAGTTATTTCAACTGGAAGAAATATGTTTCTATGTTCTAACATGTTTTTGTTGTTTCATTCCTATAGTCTTATGATTGATCTTATTGAAGTTGAGAAGGAGCGCCTTTTAGATGAAGTAAGTTTTCTCTGATTTTGGCCCACTTAGTGAACACTGTAGGTACCTCTTGTATGCCAGAGTCACTGTAACCCACTGGTGTTGCCCACCTACCCAGTGTGAGAATCCTAGCTACTGCTTTGCTATAGGAACACTATTTGCTTCATAAACATCTGACATAGGGTATTGCTTAGTAGTAGTATGCTTGCTTAGCATGCATAAAGCTTTGGGTCAGGAAGTATGGGTAAGCACAAAATGTAAAAACTGGCTTTATTGTAGACAGACTGTGATAGCTTGTAGGCATTAGGGCAGAGCTGTGTAAGAAGCTCACAGTATGGGAATTTTCACTGTAGTGGAGTGAATAGCAGAGATGCATGGTTCTGTTAGTATGTAAAGGCACCTGTAAATGAACTAATAATTTGCAGCAAGAAGGCATTGCTTCCAACAAGAAGAGTGATCCATAATGCCACAAAAGTAAAATAAAATGAATACATAAAGGGAAACATACAGTAACTTCCAAAAGATCCAGAGTTGGGTGAGACTTTTGTAAGAAAAGCCTAACTAATGAAATCAGTGCTGGGACTTTGCTGCTCCACAGCAGTGCTCTTCCTCCAGGAGTGCTTGTTCCCCACTCCTAAGTGCTTCCTGTGCAGCTGTCAGGTGCTTGTCACTGACACCGTGGTGAAAAGGATACCAAGATAGAACATGTGGCGGTTCCTTTTTAACACTGAGTGTTTTGTCGTCTTTGTTTTATGACTTTTATGCTGAAACACCTATGCACTGTTTTATTGATTGATATATAGCAATGAATAAAAACAAGATATCTTGACTTGTTCAATTCTGCTGTTGAGTATTTGGGGATTAGTGTTATACTCTGTTGGCCTGTACATTCTATGTGAGTCCATATACAGAAGCCTTGTTAGTGATGGGCAGTACTGGAACACTTGAACTTGTATGTGAGAATAGCACTCATTACGTCATAAGGGTTTTGTTAGAGCAGGTGTCCAGCCAGTTCTGGCTCTTGGTTAGTGCCACAATGTCAGTGAGCACCTTGAAACATTTTTAGACTGGGTTTAATTAGAATTTTTTATTCAGAACACTTTTGCTAAACTTAATCACTTTCTCTTCAGTGGTTCACTCTGGACGAGGTTCCCAAAGGAAAGCTGCATTTGAAGTTAGAGTGGCTCACACTGAAGTCAGATGCGGCAAACCTGGATAAGGTGCTGTGCAGTGTCTTCCTTCATGACCCATTCCTGATTATTAGCACCAGTATCTTTGATTGTGTTGGTACTTCTTTAAAAATTCTTTCCCAGTAATTTTAATCATTATGCCACAAGTTATCACAGTAGTAGACAGGAATATGCAATTTACAGGTCATTATTCCTGTTCTGAGACCTTAAAATTTTGTGCTTGCTGTAGCACAGGGATTTGGGGGACATGTCATCCTAGTACTTCATTTTAATTGACTGTGTGGAATGATAGTCTTGTCATTTGGAAGACATCAGTTCAATTCTTGTTCTGTGTGTATTAGATTATTTCTTTCTTTTATTTTCTTGAATACAGTCAAAAACAGTGTGCACTCCTATAGACACACACCCACTGATACTTTTTTTTCACCTTGCAGGTGCTGGCAGACATCAGAGCTGATAAGGATCAAGCCAATGATGGTCTTTCATCTGCACTACTGATCTTGTATTTGGATTCTGCAAGGAACCTTCCGGTAGGTAGTATAGAGCTAACGCCTGTGAGTGCTTTCCTTACTTGGAAACTACTATTTTGTTCAGACACGATCTATCACCTGATCTTGAGTGGCAGCAGCAGAGAGGCACAAGGTAGCATTTACTTTGCACGTGTGTATATTTATATCTAATTATTACAGCCTAGTTACCACAAGGTGAAAATTGTCTCTTCTTAGAAAGGGGACTAAATGAAGCAGCTCTGTTCACAAACCCACAATGTGTCTTAGCTGTACAACAGCAGGTCATGAACTGCTGAGTTGTGACTGTTCTCAGGCTTTAAGGTGGAGCATGACTGATGCCACCAGGTAGGTATACTGACCTTCAGGTACCGAACAAGACACAAACGGTGCCAAGTAATAATGTTTAGCCTAAAAACCTATTTATTTGCTTGTTTTGGTTTCATGGAGGAACGTATAAAGTAATCCAATCATTTAGGGATAGTCCTAAATCTTACATTGTCCTGCTGTCAACCCCACTAGTTAAAGTTATGTTCTCATATAAATGGTACATTGTTAGAAAACTTTTTGGCTGCCAGTGTGCTTGCATACTAGGGCATTCTCTTTGTCATTGTGTCAATAGCCAATGTCGTTGAATGAAAGTTCATTGTCAACAGTTACAGGGGTTTTACCCACCAAGATTGTCCATTGCTTAATTCTCCCTTCCTAGTAAATGCTCAGTCACACAAGTGCATTTGTGAATAGACTCCAAACAAAAGCAAAGAAGCACTTTGCTTGCCCTTATCCTCAGTCTCTCTTGAGCTTTTATCCTGATGGCTTATGAATTTGCATCATTTAGCACCTTTTAGATTTTGAAAATTGTATATTTTCTTGAGCCTTGTGAACAAAAATGAAATAAATGTTCTTTGTACATTAATATGTTTTTTTTCAACCTAACAACTGAAATAGTTTTGAGCATTTTGTAATAGGAATATATAGTTGTCTCTTTGCCAATACCATACCCTTTCTTTTAGTGAAGTTTCCTTGTCTAATTTTTACTACTTAAGTTCTTACATTTCTATTGAAGATCTTAATCTTTTGACCAGTCTTTCCACCTAAAGTCTGTGAGTTTACCTAGTTTTATTTCAGTTTGGGAATATTTACTTCATTATTATTTAGCCTTTCAATAGAATTCCTTACACAGTAGAGGTTTCTGCTTTTGACCACAATAAAGTTTGTTATAAAATGCCTGATTGTGTATAAAAGGTACTTGCTGCCAAACCTGGCCACCTATGTTCAATACCCAAAACAGACATAATGGGCGGCAAGAACTTTGGGTTGTATTTGACTTCCACTTGCATGCCCTGGGAATTCCCATACTCCAAATAAATGTAAAATTAAATTTAAAAAGTGAGTTTGTTGCATAGTTTAGATAAAGAAAATAGTGGTGGATTAAGTGGGAAGGGCTTGGGCTTTTCTGTAGAGCTATGTTGGATGTCACATAAGCTCAAGAGACAGGGAACGCACTGCTCCTCTATCCAAGGGTACTTTACTCACAGTGTGCTGTGGCTCATCAGAGGCAAAGGGTCCACAGAGCCATCCCTGCTTTTTGTTGTTAATCGGGAGGCTTTGTTGGCCATCCCTGTGTATCCTGGGGCCCTTTGACTCTCTGCACCCTGTTTTTTTGTGCTTCTGGTGTGTACCCACTGACCACAACCCACCATTCTTTGCTTTCTCTTCCTGTCTCCACTTTCCTAAGAGTATCTACGAGGGAAACTTTGGGTGTGGCTACTTAAAAGAGAGGCGAGCGTCGGGACTAGTGTTTTGTGAGAATACTACCTCAGTCTATAGAACACTATTTGTGAGTCCTCCAGCTCCTTCTTCTGTGTTCAGTGAAGACTGCCCAAGTGTGGCCTGGAATTTCTGTGCATTCTGCTCATTGGAATGATGTGCATGCTCTTTTCATTTTCTTGCATGACTTCAATTACTGTGTCTTCATTTTATGTTGGTTTTGTCAAATGTGACTCTGCTGTGATATTGGGAGTACATCTGACATGAGATGAACTAACCTGAACTAACTCTACTGCTGCTGCTCCATAAAGTGGTAGAATAAGTCCTCTGAGGGATAAACAAAGCTAAAAGCTGAAGTTGATTTGGGGGTTCATGCGCTAACTTTCACAAAACATTCCTAAATCTGCTTTTTTCGTTCTCACCAAGGGGAGCAGCATTAGAACTTGGGCTGTCTTCCAGTCCATTCCACCCAGTTCTCTCTGTTACTGCTCATGGTCACATGAAGTCACAAGTCCACCCATCTCTGTGAGAGCCTGCTTCTGCCACATGGCCTAGCCAGAGCCTCTGGAGGAGAAGAAGAAAATGAGAGTGGGTTCATGGTTTATTTCTTTCTAGGAATTTGAAAAGAGTTTACTGAAGTATATAATTGAGGATTTTATTTTAATCTCATCACATTTGCTCCCATAACCTGTCTGGTGCTTCTACTCCTAGTGCTATTCAGGGTAATCTGGTGGCTGTTGGGTTCATCTCCTCTGGGGTCATAGAAAACTACACTTAAGACCTTCTAGTCTACTAATTAGTGTAGAAAATCACCTTTCTGGTTTGTTCTATAATTAGTTAGATTTCTGAAGACCACTTATCCTTTTATCTGATAGTGAGCGGTCTTTGCTCTTTTGAGTTTCTGGTTCTGCTTACAAAGGCTTTCCATATGTGTGCTCAGTTATTCTTACTTCTAAGAAGGGGCTCTAGGCTACCATACTTTTAAAATAGGTGTTTAGCCCTATTTGATAGACAAAAAAAATCAATACACTAGTAAATAGGCAGCACCTTGATGCCCCCAACTGTGCACTCAGCCTGTGGTGTGGACGGTGTCCCCTTTCACCCTTGCATTGTAGAGGTTAAGGCGGGAACATTTCTTATTTTAGTATTGTGCCACCTCAAAAACAGAAGTCAAAAGGAAGGCAGTTAGAATGACAATGCCAGTGTATACTATCAGTTTAGAAAAATGCTTTATGCATTTGTTTCTTAGGTAAAATGTCCTCACCAGCTCATAAGTGACAAGGCCACCCTTCTGGGTAATTCTGTCAATCTATCTCCTGTAACTTTTCTAGGTCTTTTTTCTCAATCTACAACTGCTTCCTTTCATAGAAAATATTTTGGAGTCGGATTCTTGAGTTGCCTTGTATTTCTGACATCAGTGGTCAGACTCAGAATTCATTCTCTTCATTGTCCAAGTGACATTGAGCTTTATGATTAGGATATGCACACCACAAAAAAAAATGTTCTTTACAGAACATGTATGCACTTACTTTTACTTACTGATTTCCGGTATAAAATGAAATCACTTTCTCAGAAGTCTTTTCCTACAGGAAAAGCTTTTTCATAAGTAGCTACAGCCTATAGCTTTTTCACTTCTAACCTGTTCAGAGCACCTTCAGTTTCCACTCCATTGTTGTCCTCTGTATTGCAGATGATTTCTTTTAAAAGTAGACCCAGAATTCACCCTCTCTGGCTTCAGCTTGGCTGTGTCCTCTGACTTTGGCACACAGCATTAGAATGTTAGCCTTACTTGGTAACTCATGTGTGTTGAGCACTTTGCAGCAGCCATATATGCATTTCAGATTAGAAAAGTAGCGCGAAGGACATAAGACTAGAGATCTGAGACCTCATCGCTGTACAGTGTTCACTGCTCAGACTCTGCTAATTCTGTAACTGGAGATGATATGAGTGGTGTTTCCATGGTGTTTACCTTACATGTGGGAACATAGCCATGTAATAGCTACCACTGTGCAGATCTTTAGGGACAAAGGTACTTTCTACGGGTAATTTTAGGTTTTGTTTGTTTGAGACAGGGTCTCATATATTCCAGTCTATCCTGAAACACTTTATATTATAACCACTGAATTTATGATCATCCCACCTCCCCTTGCAGGTGCTGGGGTCTGGACCCAGAGCTTCCTATGTGCTAGGAAAACACTCTCAAGTGACCTGTATCCCCAGTGCATGGTTCGTGGTGAGGGAAAAAAAGGACAGGTGCAGGACAGGTGCCACTGTCTCCAGTGATTGAGAGGCCCAGGAGTACATGGCATGTGGTGCTTGACTGCGGAACCTTATACCTGGACACCTGCCCCGTGCACTTCAGTGACTCGTCTTCTCACCTGCGTGCTATGCAGGCTTGTGACCTCACACCGCTGTTCTTGCATTCCTGATTCGCACTACCACTGTTCTCTTTGTTTCTCAATAATTGATGTTAGAATAACAAGTGCATCGGTTCAGCTGTTTGTATCCAGTGTGCACTTCATCTAGAGAGTGTATCATTCAGGCTCCCTCTGAACCAAAATGCATTGTTGGAACTCCTTAGGGAATGCTTTGGGCTTCATCCAAAGATAAAAGAAGTAGGGTCTGAGTCTTTGGAGAGCCCTGTAGGCTGTTTGAATAGTCTAAATTTAGACCTATGTAGTTTGGCAAGAGCCTGGGTTGGAGCTTTTAACTTCTCATCTGCTTCCTACTGTAGGAGGCCTGGAAGCTATTTCTCCATCTTCATTCATACATTTTCTGTTTAATAAGACATTAAGAAAAATTTTTAATTGAGAATCAAATTCAGTATACCATTTCAAAATAGTTAAAACTAAAAAGACAAATCTTTTAACCTCAAAAGTTTATTCTGGGAGCTTCCAAAAACAAATTGTCTATTTGAGAATGAGCAAACAACTAACTGAAAAAATTCTGTCAGAAAGACACGTACCCTATAATAGTAGAGTATGTATTTAAGTCCAGGAGAAACTCTTAAGATGACTGTTGGCCTGTGCTTCCATACCTGGGAAAGATGGGGAGTCCAGGGAGTTTGTAAAGAAATAGGCTACATCTCTGGATGATGCTGTAGCAAGAAAGCATGTCTCAGCAGGCATAGCAGTGGTGTGGGCCGCTGCTGGTGGGACTAGCTCCAGCAATGTGGAAAGAAAGCATGGTCACCGCTTTGCTTCAGATTAAACCTCTGATTTGGGGTGACACTAGGGTTTCAGGCAAAGGGTAGTAAGCAGAGCCTTTCCTAAGTCATACTCTTGATTTCCGAAAACACTGAAAGTCAGAGGTGAAGAAGTAAAGGGTTACCAAAGATGAGGAAATGTGTCATGATATTTTAGATTATCTGTTATTCTGAGGTAAAATCTTGAGCATAAAGGCAAATTTGGCAGTTTGTATGATTTTTTGGTCTGATTTAAGTATTTCTTTATTTTCATGAACTTTTGTGTCATTAACCTTACATAAATTCCTCATTGCATGTTTTATTAACCCTTGGTGTATTCATTTTCTTCTGACCTGAAAGAATAACCCATTACACTTTAACCCCGGTGTTTTGAAGAAGTCTACAGTTCAGAGAGCTTTAAAGGTAAACAAAGTGTCTCCTTGAGGCTGCAGTACTAATCAAGACATATTGAAAGAGATGGTACTTTGGCTTTCCTAAGTGTGTGGGCAGGTTACTTCCCACCCTAGTTAATAATTAACTGTCCAGTAGAAGAGATCTGACTTTCGTTATCCAAGAATTTGTTTTTAGAAGAAATTGCATCAACCAAACTTAAATTTTAAAGTTCCAATATGAAGTTTTAGATTTTCATTCTTTCTCTTAACAGTCATTGAAATATTGTGTTTTGTTTGAACTTATGAATGACAATCTGAAAGTTTTATTTAAAATCTTAGCCAGAACTTCATATTGTGATTTAAAGATGTGCCTTGCAAACTGATGAGTGCACACTTAAGGAATTGCCTCTTCCAATATGTTGAGTAGGGCCTCACTGAATCAACCTCATGGCTTTGGTGCTGTGGGTTTGGGTGACAGATCTTTCCAAAAGGTTCAGATTTCTTCAATGAGGTCTATTGAAAACTAAGCTCCACTTCTTATCCACGACAATAGCTTGTGTTCTGTGGCTAAATTGTTATGGTTTGTTTCTTAACTAATTTTAATTACATTGAGAGGCAGGGGCTTTTTAATTACAATAGTCTTAAGAAAATTCCAAAGAAATAGGAATATTTTAATCAGTTTTATCTAGCAAAATAAGTTAATTCAAAAATGGAGGAGATTGACAGTGACTTGTCTGATATCATATTTGTAAACTTTACTCCGACCTGTACTAAAGAGCTGTGGTGTAGTGTTAGTAGGGCATCACACCCTAAGAATGCTGGTCCTCACACGCTGGAACAACTATGCCTTCTACCATAGCTTGGCCATAAAAGCTTACGAAAGGACCTCTAGCCACACTCTTTGCTCACCATCTCCTGCTGTCCTGGTGGCCAGAGGTCAGGAAGGAAGGCTCTGAAGTCATGTTGCTCATTATTGTGATTCAAAGATGATGTTTAACCCATCCTGCTTACAGGATGGAAGTAATATCTTCTCCATTGGAGTAGTAAATAAGTTAAAATATTACATATAAAAATACACAATAGATAGGTAAATAGATTGCTATAATTATCTGATTAATACATTAGCTCATTTAAGCCTAACAACAAATTTTAAAAATGGTATTGTGCCTCTTTTAGAGACATGGAACCTGAGGCTCAGATAGATGAAACATAGGTCTCAGTAGTCAAGAGTTAAGGAGAATGAAATTTAAATTCATTAGTATAAGATTATGTTTTAGGCATCATTTCTGTAGTTCATTAAATTCAATAGTGTGACCTAAAAGACTATATTTTATCATATATTTTATCACACAATAGTGTGACTTAAAAGACTATATTTTGTCATAGTTTGTACCCTTGATGTGTGGTGCTATAATTTAAATGTCTGTCATGATAGAAAACTTGTCAATGATTTTAAAACCTTATTTATGTAATCTAAAATGTCATCTGTGTAAGGCATACCCTTATTTTATAAACCACTAAAAAATTATAAAAATGCCAGCTAAGCTTTGATTTATATTTATTGAAATTTTAGACTTGAAATAAATAGATTTTAGGTGTTATTCAGGTACATACATACATACATACATACATGGATGCATAAATTAATTAAGACAGTGACAACTGAAATTGTTCAGAAGCAGTTATAAACTTCACTCTATTTTAAAAAATATTAGAAAAGCCAGGCAGTGATGGTACACACCTTTAATGCCAGCACTCAGGAGGCAGAGGCAGGAGGATCTCTGTGAGTTCAAGGCCAACATGATCTATAAGAGCTAGTTCCAGGGCAGGCAACAAAGTGACACAGAGAAACCCTGTCTCAAAAAACCAAAAAAAAAAAAAAAAAAAAAGAAAAGAAAGAAAGAAAAAAGAAAAAGAGAAAGAAAGAGAAAAAGATAAAGGAAAAGAAAAGAAAGAAGACACCTTAAAAATACAGATGCATTAAATCCTTAAAACTCAATGGCCTTATTTTCACAGACACACACTTAATATTAGTCAGAAATAAACTCAGCTCCTATATCAAAGCCTCAAAGTAAATGTGGCTTAAATCAGTGTGATTTCATGACCTACAACTAGCACAAACCTCATAGATAATGGGGAAGACATGCATTCCTTGAACGTCAGTGTCTTAGCTAGCCAGAAGGGAGAGGTGGAGGTGACATCCTATTCCCAGAGGATTTATGCTCAGCTCAGATTTAGGACTCCCAATATCTAAGAAGGAAATAAGTTTAGGAAAAAATCTTTTGGCTTTGATATTTTTAACGGTATTTATTTCATTTTGCAGAATTCATTTACATCAAACTGATGAACCAGAAAATAGATTATCACAGTAGGTTTGGGTTAGTCATATTTTTTGAATAATCAAATGATTTGACACCTATTTCTGTCATTGCTGTAGTGTTGAGGATTGACTCTAAAATTATTAACGAAAATACTTTTTTGTGACCCTCTAATTAATTTACATTAACACATTTAATACATCTTTTTGTGGGGCTAAGTTATAAATAAACCTCATGTCACAGATCTGTTGTGTTTTTCTGTGTTTTCTTCTATCAGCTGTCTGCTAAAGTTTGCTTCTTGTCATTTTTTCTTACTTATTTCTTACTTATGAATTATTTAAATCATATTTATATTTGCTTAATTCCATGCAATTCTAAACTGACATTTATTCTTCTGGTGATAATTACTTAACAGCCGGTAAGCAATGTCCAATATCTGATAACTGTGTTTACTTTAACAGAGGATGGTGGTAGGTTCTAGGTGTGCAGCTATGCATCTGAAGCCAATGCTTTATACTATAGCTAAGGAAGTGTTCTGAGTGAACATTCCTTTACATTTGTCTTCTTTTTTGTTTACTTATATTCATTGCACCTGGATTTTATTATCCTAATAAGTCAATTTTGAGAGCTGTAGTTAAGAATAAAATTTTATATTTTAAATAAGATTGCATTTCCCAAAGTAACTTACTTTTAAAGTAAAAAGTTAGACATTTCAAACTTGTGTGCAGCCAGAAACAGAGACTTATTCTATAGTCACAGATACTTTGAAGATTTCAGTGGGAAAATCACACATGCCACAGAGTTGCATATTAGCCAAGCAGTATTGCCAGACCCTGTCTCTCAGGAAAAAGTATATGAATGGAAGTTTTCTCAGTTTGTTTCATGGTGGAAACAGTGAATAATGATGGCTCAAGGTTTGCTTAGCAGTTGTTTTCTACTTTAATTGTTCTTCGATGTTCCTGTGTCTAAAGTATCAGTGGTAAAATAGAAATGACTCCTGATATCAAGCGTAAATTCATTCTTAAAGGGACTCATATTTTACTTAATTTATCTGGTTTTTTTTTTTTTTTTTTTTGGATAGTCAGGGAAGAAAATAAACAGCAACCCAAATCCTCTTGTCCAGATGTCGGTCGGTCACAAGGCTCAAGAGAGTAAGGTAAGAAGAGTCTGACGGTTCTGAGAGCCTCTGCATAGCCATGCTGTACTGGTCACTTTCCCCGGGAGGTGGTGTCCAGGTGTGTGATGTGTGCAACATGAGACCATTGTTTCATATGAAACAGCCATTTCATACATACTAGCTGCTTAAGTTATTGACAGATACATTGTTTATTTTTAAATAACATAAAAAAAACCTTACAGATATGCTTTTGTTTGATTTTTGGAGAGAAATACGGAATTACTTCCCAAGCTTCTTTTAAGTACTTAGTAATTACTTAGCACGTTGTACTTCAGATTCAGCAAACAAACTCTCAAGAGTTCAAAGTAGGTAGTGTTGTGTGTTCTTCTTTTCTGATCAGGAATAAAAGTTCAGAAATTACAGTTTTAGGCCATTGTTAAATTTTAAGAAGTAGGGCTCTGTGTTACTGTGTCAGGCACCAAGAATGCAGAAGTTGAGGACAGTAGAGCAAAAGAGGCTTTGGTCTCTGGACAGCAGGCATGGGTTCTGCGTCACCTCCTGTTCGGGTGCACCGCCGACAGCTTGTTTTACTTTCTGAACATTTCCACGCTTCCTAAGTCCATTACTCATAATGATGTAATCAGCCTGTGCTCGGGTACGCACTCATAAGTAAGCAGTGAGTCAGTAGTCCTCCGTAGCAAACACTGAAGAGTTGATGTGAGACCATTTCTTACAGATTCGATACAAAACGAGTGAGCCAGTGTGGGAGGAAAACTTCACTTTCTTCATTCACAACCCCAAGCGCCAGGACCTTGAAGTTGAGGTATTTTATTGTATTCTCTGCCTATAGTTTGAAATATGATTGATACAAATTATGCTTATTTACAGTTTCCAATTGAGTACATAGTATCCTGGGACCCACCACTACAGTCAAGATAAGAAATTTTTTGGTTCTCTCTGACTCACAAGTCTCCCAAACCTGTCTTTATGTTTACGTTTATGTCATGTTAATCTTCATCTGTACTATCAGGGAAAGGTCATGAATCTTTTTTTCTTAATATTTAGCTATATAACTGTTCAGCACATTGTTAAAAATTACTCTTTCCTATGTATTGAGGTTAGTGGCTATCGAAATTTAGGGCCAGTGTGCAGTCTGCTTATGGAATGCTTTGCACCCTAGGTTCTGTTCTAACAAATGCTAGCCTCGCTGTCTCTGTTACTGCTATTGAATGACTACATTTTAAAACCAACTTGTGTAAGCCCTCAAATTTATTTTTCACTATTGTTTTGACTAATTCTGAATCTACATTTCACATGAATTTTAGTGCCAACCATAGCTTTACACAGAGAACCTTTAATTTTGAAAGAACTCCACTGCCATCTTCATAACAGGAAACGTTCCAATCCATAGAAACATTGCATTGCTTTTTCCTTTCCCCTTGGGTAGTCTTTAATTTCTCTCAGCAGTGCTATATAGTTTTCTGTGTTTGGTGTAGTTCTTTTATGTATGTCAGACTTTTCCCTAAACATTTAGTAATTCTTTATGGTGTTGTAAATGATCTTACTTTATTTCCCTACTTGTAATTGAAAATGGAGCCTTGGTATTTTTACTTTTTTACTAATGTATATGAAGGTGTCTAAACATTGTAGTGTATTCCTGTAATCCCAGTATTTAGGAAGCCAAGGCATGAGATTCATAAATTCAAGACTAATCTGGTTTACCTAGTAGCAAGATCCTGCCTCAAAACAAAACAAAGAAGACAATCGGTAGGAGACAAATGAAATAAAACAATCATTAAAGTGCTTGTTACATGGGCAAGCTTGGGATATGAAAGCCAGGCATGGTGACACTAGTTTATAATCCTGGCTCTAGGGGGAAGGAGACCAGTAGATCCTGGGAACTCACTGCCAGCTAGCCTGGTCTCCTCGGCAGGTTCAAGACCAGCTGAGAGGCACATTCCAGAGGATGACAGAGAATGAGAGTGTGTAGTTGGTTGTTATTTTTTTTTCTTTTTTTTTAATAATTTTTTTATTAAGAAAAGAAGAAAAAAAACATAAACAAAAAACAAGTTTCCACCTCCTCCCAGCCTCCCATTTCCCTCCCCCTCCTCCCACCCTTCTCCCCCTCCTCCCACCCTTCTACCCCTCCCCCCACTCCTCTCCCCCTCCCTCTCCAGTCCACAGAGCAGTCCAGGTTCCCTGCCCTGTGGTAAGTCCTAGGTCCTCCCCCCTCCGTCCATATCTAGGAAGGTGAACATCCAAACTGGCTAGGCTTCCACAAAGCCAGCACATTAAGTAGGATCAAAACCCCGTGCCATTGTCCTTGGCCTCTCATCAGCCCTCATTGTTCGCCATGTTCAGAGAGTCCGGTTTTATCCCATGCTTTTTCGGTCACAGTCCAGCTGGCCTTGGTGAGCTCCCAGTAGATCAGCTCCACTGTCTCAGTGGGTGGGTGCACGCCTCGTGGTCCCGACTTCTTTGCTCATGTTCTCCCTCCTTCTGCTCCTCATTGGGACCTTGGGAGCTCAGTCCAGTGCTCCAGTGTGGGTCTCTGTCTCTGTCTCCATCCATCACCAGATGAAGGTTCTATGATGATATGCAAGATATTCGTCAGTATTGTTCTCGGATAGGGTCAATTCAGGTTCCCAATCCTCAGCTACCCAAGGAACTAACTGGGAACCTCATGTTGGGCACTTGGGAGCCCCTCTAGGGTCAAATCTCTTGCTCACCCTAAAGTGGTTCCCTTAACTAAGAATTGTGGTTCCGTGCTCCCCTATCCACCTTTCCTTTATCCCAATTCTCCTGATTCCCCAAGTCCCCCCTCCTTCCCTTCTACCTTTTCTCTCCCCATCTCCCTTTACCCCCATCCCACCCCACCCCCAAGATCCTAATTTTCTCCCCGGCAATTGGGTCTACTTCCCTTAGCCAAGAGGATAACTATATGTTTTTCCTTGGGTTCACCTTCTTACTTAGCTTCTTTAGGTTCACCTATTGTAGACTCCGTGGCCCTAATTTATGGCTAGAAACCAATTATGAGCGAGTACATCCCATGTTCATCTTTTTGGGTCTGGGACACCTCACTCAGGATAGTGTTTTCTATTTCCATCCATTTGCCTGCAAAGTTCGAGAAGTCATTGTTTTTTACCGCAGCGTAGTACTCTAGCGTGTATATATTCCATACTTTCTTCATCCATTCTTCCATTGAAGGGCATCTAGGTTGTTTCCAGGTTCTGGCTATTACAAATAATACTGCTATGAACATAGTTGAACAAATGCTTTTGTCATATGATAGAGCATCTCTTGGGTATATTCCCAAGAGTGGTATTGCTGGGTCCAGGGGTAAGTTGATCCCGAATTTCCTGAGAAACCGAAACACTGACTTCCACAGTGGTTGCACAAGATGGCATTCCCACCAGCAATGGATGAGGGTACCCGTTCCTCCACAGCCTCTCCAGCAAAGGTTATCCTTGGTGTTTTTGACTTTAGCCATTCTGACAGGTGTAAGATGATATCTCAAAGTTGTTTTGATTTGCATTTCCCTGATTGCTAAGGAAGTTGAGCACGACTTTAAGTGTCTTTTGGCCATTTGAACTTCCTCTGCTGAGAATTCTCTGTTCAGTTCAGTGCCCCATTTTTTAATTGGGTTAATTAGCATTTTAAAGTCTAGTTTCTTGAGTTCTTTATATATTTTGGAGATCAGACCTTTGTCTGTTGTGGGGTTGGTGAAGATCTTCTCCCAATCAGTAGGTTGCCTTTGTGTCTTGTTGACTATGTCCTTTGCTTTACAGAAGCTTCTCAGTTTAAGTAGGTCCCATTTATTCAATGTTGCCCTTAATGTCTGTGCTTCTGGGGTTATACATAGGAAGCGATCTCCTGTGCCCATCTGTTGTAGGGTACTTCCCACTTTCTCTTCTATCAGGTTCAGTGTGTTCGGGCTGATATTGAGGTCTTTAATCCATTTGGACTTGAGTTTTGTGCACGGTGATAGATAAGGGTCTATTTTCATTCTTCTACAAGATGACATCCAGTTGTGCCAGCACCATTTGTTGAAGATGCTTTCTTTCTTCCATTTTATACTTTTAGCTCCTTTATCGAAAATCAGGTGTTCATAGGTTTGTGGGATAAAATCCGGGTCTTCTATACGATTCCATTGGTCGACTTCTCTGTTTTTATGCCAGTACCACACTGTTTTCATTACTGTAGCTCTGTAATAGAGTTTGAAGTCAGGGATGGTAATGCCTCCAGAAGATCCTTTATTGTATAGGATTGTTTTGGCTATCCTGGGTTTTTTGTTTTTCCATATAAAGTTGATTATTGTCCTCTCCAGATCTGTGAAGAATTTTGATGGGATCTTGATGGGGATTGCATTGAATCTATAAATAGCCTTTGGTAGAATTGCCATTTTTACTATGTTGATCCTCCCAATCCAAGAGCAAGGGAGGTCCATCCATTTTTTGGTATCCTCTTCAATTTCTTTCTTCAATGCCTTAAAGTTCTTGTCAAATAGATCTTTCACTTCCTTGGTTAGATGTACCCCAAGATATTTTATGCTGTTTTTGGCTATTGTGAATGGTGAAGCTTCTCTGATTTCCCTCTCTGCTTCCATATCCTTTGTGTATAAGAGGGCGACTGATTTTTTGGAGTTGATCTTGTATCCTGCCACATTACTAAAGCTGTTTATCAGCTGTAGGAGTTCTTTGGTGGAGTTTTTGGGGTCGCTTATGTACACTATCATATCATCTGCAAATAACGAAAGTTTAACTTCTTCCTTTCCAATTCGAATCCCCTTGATTCCATTATGTTGTCTTATTGCTATTGCTAGAACTTCAAGCACTATATTGAAGAGGTATGGGGAGAGTGGACAGCCTTGTCGTGTTCCTGAGTTAAGTGGGATGGCTTTGAGTTTCTCTCCGTTTAATTTGATGTTAGCTGTCGGCTTGCTGTATATAGCTTTTATTATATTTAGGTATGACCCTTGTATCCCTAATCTCTCCAAGACTTTTAACATAAATGGATGTTGAATTTTGTCAAATGCTTTTTCAGCATCTAATGAAATGATCATATGGTTTTTTTCTTTCAGTTTATTTATATGCTGGATTACATTGATAGATTTTCGTATGTTGAACCAGCCCTGCATCTCAGGAATGAAGCCTACTTGATCATAATGGATAATTTTTCGGATGTGTTCTTGGATTCGATTTGCCAGTATTTTGTTGAGGATTTTTGCGTCGATATTCATGAGTGAGATTGGCCTGTAGTTCTCTTTCCTGGTTGAGTCTTTGAGTGGTTTTGGTATCAGAGTAATTGTGGCTTCATAAAAGGAGTTTGGTAATGACCCTTCTGTTTCTATCTTGTGGAATACATTAAGGAGTATAGGTATTAGATCTTCTTGGAAGATCTGGTAGAATTCCGCATTGAAACCATCTGGTCCTGGACTTTTTTTGGTAGGGAGGTTTTTGATAACCTCTTCTAATTCTTCGCGACTAACAGGTCTATTTAGATTGTTCACCAGGTCCTGATTTAACTTTGGTATATGATATTTATCTAAAAAAGTATCCATTTCCTTTACATTTTCCAATTTTGTGGCATATAGGCTTTTGTAGTAAGATCTAATGATTCTCTGAATTTCCTCTGTGTCTGTGGTTATGTCCCCCTTTTCATTTCTGATCTTATTAATTTGCAAATTCTCTCTCTGCCGTTTGATTAGCTTGGATAGTGGTTTGTCAATCTTGTTGATTTTCTCCAGGAACCAGCTTTTTGTTTCATTGATTTTTTGTATTGTTTTCTGTGTTTCTATTTTGTTGATTTCAGCCCTCATTTTGA